AGTCTGGCTTTGTGCTGTAGCAGACACACATGGGAGGTGCCCTGGGCTGATGGGGAAGGGGTAGAACTATGGTGGGAACTGGTTTTTTTCACTGGCACTCTTCCAAAAACACCACCCCACCCTCTGGAGAATAAGAAGTGAAGAAACATTGAGCCCTTTCAAGGTTGTGTTGGGTTGTTTTGTTTTTTTTTTTTTTATGCAGTGAGCTAATATCTGTGTGATGACAATGAAATTGTGCTGCAGAGCCCTAAAGCAAAAATGACTTTCAGTTTTCTTGTCTTAAGCGTTTCACAGGAGCATTGTGAAGGACTATCTTGTGTAAGGATTTAGCATGTTTGTTACTGTATGCTTGGACAATAGGGYGGGATCATGCTTTAGCTCAACTTTTGCAATATTCCAGGAAAAGTATTCTAGAGATCACTGGCAGATGTGTTTTATCTATTCCTTTGGGTTCTGTTTATTTATTTTCTTTAACTTGAATAATGCAAAGCGAAAGCAGTGTATTTCTAGAGGTGGAAAAGAACTGAGCAGCAGTACTGGTTAGAATAAACTCATGTCCAAATTTTCCAAGGGCCTGAGGATTTAGATATGAGCAGAAGAAAATTAAAGCCCCCTGCTGAGGAAGGCTCGGGCAAGGTGGGATCCTTCAGGCAAACAGGCTCTTGTCTGAAGCAGAGACTTGGGAGGAGCTCCTGCTCTGCGGTGCACTTGGTAATTAAGTAATTTCAGGAAATCATGCACTCTCTAACAGTGTTCAATGGGCTTTTTGTTTTCGTGTCCTGGGCTCTCTGGATCTACTTGTCCCTTGTGTTAAAGGCTAAGTGCTTTGAGGATGGGAAGGCCCCGCTGTGCTGCTCTTGAGCAGGGAGGGCTGAGCTGTGCCCAACCTGCTGGGCAGTGCTAAAATAACCCAAACTGCACTCGGGGAGATGGGATGGAGGGGTTGGGACAGCCTTGCAATCAAACCCAAATCCATCCCTCCTGCATGGGATATCTCTGGGTGTGCTGCCATGGATGTGCCAGCCTGGAGAGAGAGGGAGGGTTTGTGTTACTGTCCTCAGGTGATGGTCCAGCCCTGGCCAGGCTGTAGCAGGGCTGTGGTCATGGGACCTAAACACCAATTTGAGATTCAGAATGGACGTACATGGATGTATCACTTTCCCCCTCCCCTCCTTCTGGTGATAYATCAACTTTTTAAAGGTGATTAGGTGCCTAAAGATGCAGCTAGATGATTATAGTCTGTTTTTGAACTACGTGTCTGCATCTTCAGGCACTCGGAGATCTTTAAAATCCCAGGCCTTGGAGCTGTGCTCCCCGGGCTGCAGTTTGAATCATCAGTAGCTGCCTGACCCACGCTTGTGTACCCCTGGCTGCTCTTTGCCTGACTACAGATAAATGCCTCCCTTGACGTACAGAAATAACTCTCCTCAAAATGGATCAAATCACACTTAGTTTTAGTTATTTGGATTTCTGCTTCCAGCCTCATGCTTTTATTCTAGCAAAAAATACCGGCTTGCCTTAGTGTGARCAGCTTTTGGTTCTTAATGCTGGTTTGGTATTCATTTCTCTAAACAAGGAATGCAATTACCCTGTAGCAAAATAACTGTCTCCAACTGTCTTTTTTCCATTAAACAAACGGGAGGTTTTACCTCTTGCTCTTCCCATAAGATTAATGCACTTTCTCTGCAGGAACTGTCTTAAAGCGATCCAGGAATCTGAACAACTTGCAGAAAGCTGCCTAATTGTCAAAGAATCTGATTTAGCCAAYGCTCATTTTCATTAAGAGGTGATCTCTGCTAATAATATAGACTAATAGCTCTTCTAAATGAAGAAAAAAAAAAACGTGAACCTTCCTTTTCTCCCCCCACAAGCAGGGATAATGAACTCCTAAATCAGCTCTCTTTCCAAGGAAGCTTTTTTTCCCCAATTTTTGCAGAGTTCGGCTTGGCATCTAACTGATGTCGGGAGAACCTGGTGCCGGTGCTTGCAGGAGTAGTGGAGTCTGCCCTGACTTCCCTTTATTCCTGCCCTGCCGCTAAAGCATGAAGATTTTTCATACTCCTTCATCTGTCCAGTTTGTTTTTGAGGGAATGAGACAGGGATTATCTCTTCTTTATTGTCACAGTACAAGACATGTACCATTGTTCTGCACTGCTCTTGCAGGGGACGAGAGTTTAGAGCTTTGTGTGAAGGTGTAGRGGCTTGGAAACTGTGCTCTCTCTGGTTTTAGCAAGGCATGTAAATACTAAAAACTATTGTCAGAGATTTACAGGAACATTGTATGTTGTCACAGATTCCATTGGGATCAATATATGGAAAGTGTTGCATTCTCAGTTTTATTGAGGGTCTTATGTACTCGGTGAGCTTTTCTGAAAGGTCTAGAGCCAGCATTACCATTTCTGCTTGAAAACCACCAATTACAAAGTCTTTTCTTTAGAAAATTTCTGGCCCTCTTGGTGTAAGAGAAAAAGCTTGAAAAATAAGATTCTAATAGCTCCAGCATTGATTGYTTGCAAAAGGAACCTGTATGAGATTAAAAAAGAGAGTTATTTTCCCAATTGTAAGGAGAAGAGAGGTTCATGAATTTTCAGTGCTTGCGCTGGTGCTGCGGTTTGGGCTCACTGAGCAGTCAGGTTGGTTACCAACCTCACCTCCAAACTGATGCTGCGCTAGCCAGGAGGAATAACTGAGGCCACAAAGAGAAGGAGTTGCTTTTATAAAAAAACAATGTGACCACTTGCACAAACAGAAAAAAAAAGCTCATAAAAAAGTGACTCAATACCAGCTTGAGTGSCAGAGCAGGAAATGGGCTGCAAATGAACAAAGAGCCGCGCGCGGTGGGGATGCTCCTGCGAGCAAATGCCAGTTCCCATTTCGGCAGGCGGCATGTGGCAGCCTCCTTTCCTGTTCAAACATTTTAGCCAGATAATGAGGGGAAAAAACCAAACATTTTTCACATAATCAACTGAGTTTGGARCGGAGGAGCAATAGAAGGGGAGCTGTTGTGCTGATTATTTGCTGGCTGACGCTGCTGTCAGGAGCACTGGSACGGGGCAGGGGGTTGTTGCTAATTGCCGGCAGCGCCTGTGCYTCGGGTCACTGCTCTTGGCCACTGGGCTGCTGCTGGAGGCTGTTGTTAATGCACAGCAAACCTGGTTTCTTGCTCAAAGGGAAGCCGAGGAATGTTCGCCAGCAGCAGGTGGGGTAGGGAGGGTAACCTGTAGCGAATTGGGGTTTCTTATCAGCATCGATCGGGGTCGTGATGGGGAAATGAAGCACRGAAGGGTGCTGGTGGCTGTCTGGTTCGGGGTGGTGTGTTTATGGGAAACAGATGGTTCACTGCTTTAGYTTGCCAGCAGATTATGGAGTTGGCTTTGAACCATCTTGTGTGGTTTCCCAGGAATGCAGGGATCCCATCCACAGCAGAATGTCACTGCCCTGAGCGTGTTACCTGGGGCAGAGCTGGCAGCAGTGCTCTCACATGGAAGGCAGCTCCRTGCTGGGGTGCTCCTCGCCCTCCGCAGTGTCCCGTGGGACCAAGGGCACACCGATGCTCCAGTGCCAGTGAAAAACCCCAGCCTAGGGGGCCCAGGCTGTGTTGCAGGTGCCTTTTACAGAATTACCTCCAGTATTGGAAAAGCAACCTCATGCTGGGTRTCCTGAGCTTCAGGGTTCCTCTTCCAATGTGCTGCTGCATTTGTGAAAGAGATAAAGGGTGGCTGTAGCTATTGGGAGTGTGGACAGGGAGCAGCTGGATCGGCATTGTTCTGCTGCTCCCTGGGAATTGCCATCTTGCTTTGTGCTCCCCACCCATCCCTGTTACCTGACTCTGCAGTTCTGCCAGGGATGGGGTGACAGAGAAAGGGTAAAAGAGAATATTGGGAAAAAACTGGTGAGAGAGACTAAGATTTACACCATGCTTTTTCTGTTTATGGGGAAAGTGGTCTGCAAGCAAACTGAATATTGGGATTGAGTCTCCTCTGTACAGATCCCTGTCTKGAATGAGGCTGAACTAAAAATTTTGTTCACTTTGTGTGGAGTGAGACAAAAACTTCTTCCTAACTTAAATGTAACTTACTTAAGTGCTGTGGGCAGGAATAAGGTTTTCAGTAACCTATATTTATACTATCGTGTACAACTTCTAAACCTTCATAGCTACTGAAAATTCCAGGAATGTGGTCACAGAGAATGGGAGTTATTTGATACTACATGATTTCGGAAATTATTGATTGGAAAAGTGCCAKCTTTTTAGGAAATGCTATAAAATAAACATTTTAGATGGATGGCAATGTGATCTGTAGAAGCATGCTGCTTTTTCTGCAGATAAGCTCTGTGATAATTCTGTAGCAGCCTTCCAGTAGGAGAATACAAAGATATTTAGATGCTTTAAATTTCAGCTTATACTGGACAGTGTATTTACAGCTCATAATGCTACTCTCTCTTCACTCTGACTTTTTTTTTTTTTTTCCTTTTAATCACTTAAGAGAAGGTACTCTCTATATTGTACAGAGGCTGGAATAGCAGCAGGAAAATGTGACTTTGAAATAATGGGATCTATAAGAATAGGCAATTTCACTCAAGTATAGTGATTTAGTGCCCTGTTAGTGTCCTGATGTATAACTCCATTTCCAAAGACTGTAAGTTTTTTCACAAGCATAATGACAGGCTTGAAACTTGTGAGACTAATGTCCCAGCTTTCTCTAGCCTCAGCTGTTCCACATAATTACAGGAGTAAGGGGATTTTGTTCTCTCCTAGTAGATTAGTTCCAAGAAGAATAAATCAGATAATATTACTGCYTTCTTGTTTCCCTCTCTACAAGGTGAGAGCCCACATGGTGCAGTGCAAAGCTGGGGCTGGTGATGGTTTTTCTTGCCTGCAGTCTGTGACAAAGATGTGATCCCAATTTTGGTGTCACCAGGACAACTTGTTGCAGTGCTCTGGTTCAGTTGTTTGTGGCTTTTGGCACTAATTTCAGCTCCTGTGTTTGCTCTGCTCACAGAYGATGGCCCTTACTCGAAGGGGAGCAAGGACTCTGGTGGGATGGACGCAGCCCTGGTCTCCAGGAGGCAAAGCATCCCAGGTAAAGGAGGGGATSAGCTCCTGCTCCAAAGCATTGGGGCATCCAATACACTTTACCTGGATACCTCTAAAGTGGTAAAACGCCTCAAAACACTAATTTTGGTGCATTTATCATCAAGGCTTTTGCTGGAGGACAGAAATGATATTAACTGGTCTCAGTGAGTGGTGTATTACTGGTACAATCCCTGTCCTGTGTGGGGCTGTTGATGATGGTTACGGGGAGCTGAGAAAGGACTTATTCCTGCACTGGTTTGACACTCAAAAAGAAGAAAACAGCAGCAAAGGAGAGAGAGGGAAGAAGCGCTGCCATAGCTGAGCTCGTCAGGCAGGGAGGGAGACTGGCATCTGGCAAACTTTGTATTTCCCACATCCGACTGAGTTGTTTTTGCTATTTAGTCAGTCACAGCAAATGTTGGTGTGAGATAAACCTTCCCATGCAGAAAACCCCTGGGGGCTGAAGAGGAAGTGGAGAAGTGGTAGTTCATTTGCCTCTGTTGGTGCTGAGCTTTGGGTGCCAGCAGCACTCCAGCAAGTTTGGAGGGGTTGCCCTGGACAACTCATCTCCTTCCTAGGAAAGCCAGGGGCTTGATTCTGGCTTTTGATTGTTAATGACCCAGTCACAGGTTTGGTTTAGTGTGTTTTAGCTAATGGGGAGGGAGTGGGGCCCTTTTGCTACTGCTTCATCATTCAGCAGTTGTTTCAGAGAATGTTCTGCATCCTCTGGGGCTTCTGCAAAACATTACCATTATAGTACAGCCCTGATGGGGAGAGGCTCACAAGAGCCAGTGTGTCCAGCAACCCCAGCTCACRGCATCTCAATGGGGAGGGAAAAATTCCAGTGTGCTCTTCCTACCCTGGGATGCTTTGAGCAGCAAAATCCAATGTATATGCCAACAGAAGAAATAAAAGACTACTCATATATGGTGCTTAAAGACTATGTCTTGAAGGACCAGATCCTCCTTAACTGGCTCACTTTTACACTGTGTGAGTCTGTGACTCTGGCAGTAGATTTATAGAAGCATGGGTCAAAATCCCTTATGGCTGACCTTGATYGATTGATCTTGGGGACTTGCCTTTTTTGAGCAGTGATTTCTCCTTGAACCCATWACAGTGGGTAATTGCACTCTGGGAGTTCTCATTTTAAACACTTATCAAGGATCAAAATTAAACCCCRTTGAAGAGCTAATAGTCTCCCCTTGTGGCACCATCTGTGTTGATCAGTCATGTCATGTAATAGAGAGGAAATTTGCAGGATGGTGCTGGATGTTGTTCTTTCCAGCACGGTGGAGAGCCCCACCAAGTTTCTGGCAGCCCCTGGGATCCCGTGTTGGTGAATTGAAAATTAACTTACTGCAGTTGGCAAGGGATCAAAACTGAGTTTAAAGAGCAGAAGTATTATGGACCTGACATTTTTACAACAAGCTGCCAGTGCCACATTAAATGGRTGCCCAGCAGTGCCTAAATGCCTGCCAGACTGGAGCTCGATTGCAAAGAGGTTCCCTACTCACATTAATCAAGGGCACAGATTATTCTTGGAAGTGCTTTACAAAACAGGTAGTGCATGGCAGGACTCCAGGCGAGCTGCCAGTTCTGGTGTCCTGGTGGTTTTGAACAGGCACGAAGTGCTAGTGATGAGGCACCACAGTGCCAAACGAGCCCATGTGTTGGAGGGATGGAGGAGGCCCTGCACCAGCATGGATCTTCTGTGTCAATATGACATTTAAGGGGCCCTGCCTTGCTCTGGAAATCAGTGTGCAAGAAGTTTCAAATGTTCCCTCTCCAAACAGAGCATCTCATTTAAGCCTGSTGAGGTTTGCTGTCCAAACAAGCTCCTGGGCCCCTTCAACCCCTTCAATGGGGTTTTTGCCCACATCTGTGGGACTGCTGTTTGCTGTGTGCTGCCAGTGCCCATCACCACTTTCTCCTGCACAGCCTTGGAGAGAGTCCCCTGTGTGAGGGTGACTGTAAAGTCRTGGAAGATTTCAGTACACTGAGATAGTGGAGGTGGATGGATAATGTTGTAGACAAATTGTGTAAAAGCTTCTTAGAGGAGGCTCTGGCAAGATGTGGAGGTCATCCTAATTTGCCCCAGGGTTTGTCCTCCTTTGAGCAGAGTGTGAGGTCTGTTGTGTGCAGAAATGCAGAGCCGCCTTTTGCCGAGTCTGCAGAGCTCGTGGTCTTTTTCTTGGGCCTCCCCCTCCTCCCCCTGATGATGGCAGGATCTCACCCTCTCCACATTATGTACTGTGTCTCCCAGCTATATTGATGTCTCATGGTGTTTTTTAAATCACAGTATTTTGAGATCCACCCTGTTACGTCCATCCAGGCCGCTGCAGGTCCACAGCATCCTCTTCCTGTGTAACTGTGACTGCCTGAGATAGCYCTGCTAATGCCCTCCCCACTCCATATCACACATTTCCTGAGGTGGATTCCCTGGACATCGCTGAGATCCTGTCACCCTGGTTTTGATTTTTATACTCCCTCCAGCACCTTGAAAAACAAGTCTTTTACTCTCTCACAAGCCCTCTGCCTTTTCTTCCTTGATCTTGTCTGCCAGACCTGCATGGAAACATTTCCGCGGGCCTACCAGGACACACTTCTGTTCTACATCTTAATTTTAGATAAACTGAGGCTTTTTCTTCATGCAATTTGTACAAAACATCCCAGGTCTGCTTTCCCACCYCCAAAGGAAAAGGGTGTCCTTGGGGTTGAGAGGAATGTGCCTTCCACTGAGTTGTCTTTATTCCTGATCTTTCAGAGGAGTTCAGAGGGGTCACAATCGTGGAGCTGATTAAGAAGGAAGGAAGCACCCTCGGCTTAACCATTTCAGGTGGCACAGACAAAGATGGAAAGCCAAGAGTCTCCAATCTGAGGCCAGGAGGACTGGCTGCAAGGTGAGAAATGGAAATAGGGTGCAGAGAGCACAGCAGAAATGGAGAGGAATAGTTGCATGTTCCAGCTACTGAATGAATAGAGTTATAATTAATGTAGTTGGCACCCGACTGCCTTTTTTTCAAGTGCCCCAGAATGCAAAGTTGTTGCTTCAGGAAGTAGAACGTCTTCTATTTTGAGCACTTTCCTATGCTCTGTGCAATTATGCTCTGAAATTTTGTGKAGGGATATTTGGAATTCTGTGAAATTAGGCAGCCTTGTCAGGAGAGCTGCMTGGTACAATACATCTTGATCAAGCTAAGTGGTTTAATATTGTATCTGTTGTGAATACTGAGTGTATAAGTAACATTATTGGCTTGGAAAGGGAATGAGCAAAGAAAGGCTCCAAGAAGCAGGAAAAGGGAAGTAGTAATTGAACATTTTGCAGAAAACAGGCAAAAGGAAAGATGTTTTCTTTTTCCCTGCTGGATTTTTTTCAGACAGCTCTYGGTGTGCTTTTTTTTGACTGATTGCTCTGCATGAATGAGAACTGAGCAACAAAAGAGAGGTTGTGAACACGTACGCTGCAATTGTTGCTGTATGTATGGATCTGAACACTTGCCACCAGGAAAGATAGATGGCTTCAATTTTAATGCTTCCCTCTGAGAGTGAACACATGCAATCAGACAGCAGAGATCAGCTCAGCACTGGTGCTTTGTTCACAAAGTCCTACAGTTACAGCTGCTCCAGTAGCAGAGACTTTGTGCTACCACTGCTTTTTGTTTGATTTCTTTGCAGGAGTGACCAGCTGAACGTRGGGGATTACATCAAGTCGGTGAATGGCATTAACCTGACCAAGCTGCGGCACGACGAGATCATCAGCCTGCTGAAGAAYGTGGGCGAGAGGGTGGTGCTGGAAGTGGAGTACGAGCTCCCTCCAGCTGGTGGGTGCCTCCGGGACARCGGTGCTCTCTTTCCTTGGCTGCTTTTTGTCCTGGGGTGTAGATGGACTTGCTCATGCAGAGCTGCCATGGCCAAGGCAGTGTCCAGGGGCGTTCTGCCTTCATCTGCTCGCGCGGGCGGTGCAGGCTGCAGAGCTGTGTGCAGTCGGAGCAGAGCACTTTTTCCAGCACAGTGGGTGCCTGTTCATGCACACTGGCAGGGGATGGCTGATTAGGTCTGTCTTGCCTCGGAGTGACTCGGTAGCACAGGCCAATCTGCCTCCTGATGCTGCTTCAGCTTCTCTTTTTCCCTTTTACAGTGTGGCTACGGGAGGTTTTATTCAGTCTTAAACATGTATTACCAGATGCTCTTTTCTGAACTGTGGCAAGTGCAGTTAGTCCTCAGGATTCTTTGAAGTGCTACGTGTTTTTAGAAGGGAAACTGAAGCAATCTGCTTTCCAGCTAAGGAGTCCTGGCAGAAGATAGCAAGCCAGACTCGCAGGGTTTGTGTCCTGACATGGGAGACCAAATGCTCTTGCCCTCATTTGTTTTGATGATTGATGTTTCTGGTTAAAACAAATTCCTCGATGAAGCTTCTCATCCCAGTCTTTCCATTGTGATTGCAGTCTCCCCAGTTATTACTTGTTCATTTACCCAGATCAATCAGCAGATGATTGGGCAGAAGAAATAGAACAACTAAAAATAAGATGACAAGGAAAACAAAACTAATGAAATCTAAACATTTTGCCCCAGATAGGAAGCTATTTTACACTTCATAGCTTTGCTGTAGCTGCTGCCTTTAGATGAAAAGTGTTGAATAGGAATGACTGTGTAAAACCCAAAAAAGAGTAAAATCTRACCTGAAGTGGATGAATCTGTATCCATCATTCCCCTCTGTTCTGCTGTAAATGTTGGGGAATTTTTGCCTACACCCCTGATAAAGCCAACTGTGCCTCAAGTTTTCCATGCTCCCTAGAGATGACCACTCTTAACCTTTCTCCATGGTATTCCTTATTGTCTGTGATATTCCTTATCAGGMATCTGATAAACTGTACTTACCAGCCGAGGAGTGGTGCCAGCTCAATCAATAACAGCAATGCGAGATGTCCTCAGCTCTGAATGAGCAGGAAGAGCACACTGAGATAGTGACTTCTCTCCAGTGAGATTATTTGGGCAGTTTATGAATGATCCAAACAAAGAAGCACCGCAAAATAACAGGGAATTGTCAATTATTTTCTGGTTCCAACTCATTGTGCGCTTTTATCTKCTGTGAGGGTTTGTTATTGCCGTGTGCACCCGCCTCTCTCTCTCTCTCTGGCTCTCTCTTACGCTGGGCAAAGAGCAGAAATAGACTGCAATTCAATAGCTTGTTCTTGTGGGTTTAAATTTTTCTCTCCACTTTGTAATTTCCAGCTTTTAAAGAAATCTTGCAAGCCCGAGTCTCGTTTTCAGGCCTCTGTGTAATATCATCTCTTTCATAAATAAACCAAGCCCTGTGTTAACACTGGCTTAGGTTTCCCAGCTCCCACTGATCTTATGAAAGGCTGTTGCAGCACTTCATACTCGGATGCTTAGGACAGAAATTGGATGGCTTCTGAACTCATTTGTGGATGCTTTATACCCTTTTCTTGGTATTTGAGTATCACCCTTTAGCTGGGAACCTTCTCATGCCCTGAATCCTTCCTTCTGGAGTATCTTTCTCTGTCCCTTTAGCTGTCTGTGCACAGCAGCAGGAGCAGAGCAGGGACAGTGTTTGGAGGTTTATTTGGCCTCTCTGTAGCTGGTCCCCAGGGCTGTCTGCCTGCAGGGCAGTACTGTGTCTCCACTGGATGTCTTTTGGATTAGCTTAAGGCCTGGGGTAAGCCAAATCTGGGTGCAGGTGCAAGCCCTGGGGGTGCTTGRCAGTGAGGATTGATGTGGTCAGTGAGAACAGTAGGGAGATTTGCTTCAAAACCCCTCTCCTGAGCCATGGGACATGGCAGTGTGGATGTGCCTAGAGCAGCTTTCAGGTCCAAGTCAGGTTTTTGGTCTTTTTTTCCTGATTATTCTTGTGGCCATTCATGGCACTTGGCTTGAAAATCAGGAATTTTAAGAGTGGACCAGGCTGAGATGTCAGGTGCAGTTTCAGGTGGAGAAGACTGGGAAATTGTCCCATATTCACTGCAGAAGTGCAATAAATCATTAAATAGCAGGGGACGTCAAGAGATGGAAACARTTTCTTTCTTTTTCTCTTTACTTTGTACATTTTGTATTTTGTACAAATAGTACTGTGTATTTAACATAAAATTACTGAATTGCCCCTAGGATCAGTTTAAAGGATTCACTTAATCTTTTTTTAAATCCAAAATATTAGAGGTAAGGGAAAAAAAACAACTTTATGCATTGAGGATTTGGGATTTTCATTTTCTTTAAGGTCAGCTRGTGACTTGATTCCTTATGCTGCTGCTGGTTTTTTTAATAAGTTTCCATCTGTGGCAGAAGCTTTTGAGAAAAGCTGAATGCATTAAAGCCAGTTGATAAACGAGACGGTTTTACTTGAATGTCAAAGTATTAACCAAGACAAATTTGAGGGGAGATGTGCAACACTGAGCTGGTGAAATCATCCTAAAACATGATGTTTGGCTCTGATAAAGGTTCACTTGTCTGGGTTGGGCTCTTTTTGCTTCCAAACGGGRAAGATAAAAGACGGATTTTGGGCTGGATTTTCATTTCACTATTGTTTGGATGAGTTTGAATATTATTTTGCACTGTGGATGGGAAAGGTTTATCTGGGGTAACTGGGTCTTTCTCTTTTCCTTTAGTGCCAGAAAGCAGTGCTGGCATTATTCCCAAGACCATTGAAGTGTCCCTCTACAAGGAAGGCAACAGCTTTGGCTTTGTGCTCAGAGGTTAGTAGCTTCTCCACTGAAAAGCAGAGGCAGAGATGGAAAGTGGGAAAAGTAAGAAGGGGAATGACAAAAACCTCAGCTGAGCAGTAAAAGCGTGTCCTGGAGAGAATCCCCTGTTGTCTCCCAGGACTGCCAGCTGCCTAATCCAGGGCAGTCGTTTTGCTTGCAGGCTGTGTCAGCTGTTATGTGACAAATGTCTCTTGCTCAGCGCTCTCGCTCAGCCTTTCAAAGCTCCAGTGGCTCACGGCTTTCCTGCTTTGCTTACAGGGGGAGCCCACGAAGACTGGCACAAGTCCAGGCCRCTGGTGCTCACCTACGTGAGGCCGGGCGGCCCCGCAGACAGGTACTGCTCGTGTCACCCTCCTCAGCCACCTGCACAGGACAGAGCAGCAGCTGTCCCTGCTCTCTCGGACATATGTCCTTCCTGTCCTCCTGGTGCTTCCCTGAGGCTTCTCCTGCTGGTGGTGTGGAATGCCAGTGGGGAGGGTGGGCATGGTGCTCACAGGCTGACCCAGTCCAGATGCTRTAGTGTTGCAGTTTAAAGCACAAACTGCTCTTCCAGGGGCAGCCCCTTCCTTAGCCCCGTGTAGCTGAATCCCTGATGCTGTGTTAGAAAGCAGGAGCCAGTCTATCTACTCTCATGCTGATAATTTAATATGATGGGCCTGGTACTATAAATAACCCAGACTATTGTCTAAGGAGTGTTCTCTGATCCTACAGGATGAGAGTAATTGACTTTTTAATGTGTGTATGTGTGTATGCACACACACACATACATACGAGTACACACAGAAGTAATATATGCTTATATATTTACATATAGAAAATATAGATATCTTACATTTTTAATTCACCTGTAGAAATGTAGACAGATAGTTATATAAATATATACGGATTATTTATCTGAATATAAATATATGCAGAAAAAAAAAATTTCTTGTGGCTTCTTACAGGGAAGGGTCCTTGAAAATTGGGGACAGGCTGCTGAGCGTGGATGGGATCCCTCTGCACAGCATGACCCACGCTGACGCCCTCAACATCCTGCGGCAGTGCAGCCAGGAGGCACTTTTCCAGATCGAGTATGATGTGACCATCATGGGTAAGGACAAAATGGTTGTGATGGCATTTTTTTTTTCTGACTGCCTGGAAAGTATGTGAGACTGGAGACAGTAATTGGAATACTCAGTTTCAGTGGAAAAATTGCTGAGCAATGTGCTGCTAGCATGGATGTAGGGGGTAGAGTTCAAAGCTGGCTTGGTTAAATGCATTTGAAATGCCCTTATGCAGGGATGTGTYTTGATAGGAATGACGAGTGGCTTTAGAGGAGAGGGCAAAAGGGGATTTTCTAATGTAGGCAGAGAGGGCATAAGAGAAGTCTGAGTTAAAGGGGGCTGGAGCGCTCTGCCAGTGCTGCAAATAACACCATTAAATGTGTGCAGAGGAGTGAGCTGCATGCAGGCATAGACTTGCTGTGGCTTTGGTTCTGAATTTTGACCCTACTTAATTCTGGCGCTWTTCCCTTTCTTAGAAATGTTACTTCAGATCTGCTTCTGAAATAAATGAGGGGTGATCAAATGYTTGACCCCAAATAAGACAGAATTTACTGGAGGGCAGAGGATGAGTATTTCTAAAAAGCATTTTACATAGTAGATACGAAGTTTGAGGGTTTGGTGGGTTGATAGCAGTTGTTTTTTTAAATTTGATTTTAAGTTTCAAGCCCTGGGAAAGGGTTTATTATTAGCTACTGTAAAGTCGTTTTGAGCTGGCTTTGTGACACGCAGCTGTTACTGCAGGGAGCGTTGTTAATGAGTTTAAGGTTACCACAGAGTTCGAAACTGTGTTGGTTCTGGAAGCTCACTGAACTGAGTATTAGATTGTGATGTTTCATACACATCTCCAGAGGGGTTTCTGCCCCCACTAGAGCCATGAGCTGGACTAGGTTGGAATCTTTTCCACAAATCTCACAAACCAGTCCAACATGTCTGAGCCTAGGATCTAGTGAGAAATAGGAGTCCGTGATATCAGGTTGTTTTTTGATTTGTCAGTGTAGAGGAAAAAAAAAAGAATCTGAAGCTGAGAGAGCTTGATACCACATTACACTAGAGGAAAGAGAGCTGAAAACAMGAGAACTCACTCTGTGCAAAGTGCTCCAGGATAAGGGAGCTCCTTGTAACAGCCCTGAGGGCTTTCTGCTTCTATTGAGTCTTCTCACCACAGGCTTTCCCCTCCTTTTGGTAGAAKCTCCACAAGCATGGACACAGTGGCTCTCCCCTGGGGGAGGTGGCTGCCAGGAGCTGGGCAGTGTGTGCCACACGGACACGTTCTCCATGGAGGAGCTGGAAGGAAAAGCTGATGCCTTGGCAGTTGTCTGCACACTGCCTGGCTTCTGCCACACCACAGGAGCAGCCTCTTTGGAAACTGGTGGCTATTCATGATAAAGAGCAAACACTTAAACCATGGGAGACAGAAACTACCCCAAACCTCTTTTCTGTCTTTCTGTGATTTTTTTCTTTTTGGATACCTCTGCAGTGGTCAGTAAGGGATGTTCATTCCTCACTTTGCAGGCTGCTCTAGGGAGCGGGGCAGGTGGAGGTAAGGAGGGATTTTGCACGGAGCTGTCAAGTCTGRACAATAGTAAAGAATTAATTGTGCATGGGAAATGGGCCTTTTGAGGGGTTTATTGTTTGTACAGTCACATGTTGCAGAAAGCTGATTGTTTCAGTACCGGACTTGGTAGAAAAATAGCCAGGAAGGTGTTTCAGTATCTTGTTGTTTCTTCTTGAATAATTCTCCCACCTAAAATTGTGAGGATTGAGTGAACATGGATGGACTGCAGGGTGACTCTCCATCTTGTGTTACTAACCTGTGGACCAGAATTAGATACTTCCCAAAAATGTAAAACCTGCCCCTTTCTTAGATAATTTCTGCCTAGAGAGTCTCTCCCTGATGCTGCTGTAAAGGAATATATTTGTCCTGCTTTCTTTTAAGGCAAGATGATACAGAACATGCAGCTTACAACAATCTCTGCAGACAGTTTTGCCAGGCAGTGGCTGATAACTGCAGTGGGAGATRAGAGCATCGTCCCCAGTTCACAACTGTTACAGCCATTCTCTTTAGCAGCCCCCAAAAGCTGATGGAAGGGAAGATCAGGTGATGAAAATGGTCCGGGGATATTTTCAACCTAAAGGAAGCGCTCTTAATTCCCATTTTGAAAACCTGGCAAGAGGTCTGGGGACASCACTATGAAATGGTGCTTGTCCTGTTCATCCTCAGAGAAAAGAGAGGTTTTTACATGGTGCTCACTCTCTCTGCAGCTGTGTTACTCCTCCTCGAGGGTGATGTAGGTTGACCCTTGAGGAGGGAAAGTTGTTTTTCTGCATCTATTGTTGGTGAGGGACCAAGGTTGCTGCGGGGGAGCGTTAATCATGGCATTCCCCAGCTGGCTCTGTGGTTTTCCAGCCAAAATTGTGCACTGAGGATGATGTGCATGGGCCAGTCCCGCTCCTGGTGCGAGGGATGTGGCAGCTGYCTGCCATTGCCACCGAGCCCCAAAGCTGTTCGGATTTCACCAGGGAGGCTGGCACAGGGAAGGACCACAGCAGGCTTTTTGTCAGGTTGGCTGAGATGTCTCAAGGCCGCTGAAGGAATTAAATTAATCTGCTATTTCCATTTAAAAGGAGTGCCAACTGGGCATGCACCTCCCTAGGGCATTCGGAAAATCTCTGCCCTTTGCTGAGGCCAGATAAACTTTGCAATGAACAGATGCTTTCCCATGGCTCTACTCTGTCTTAGGGGCCTTTTAAAAACAGGGGGGAATGGGTAAAAAAAAATCACCACAAGCAAACTGATCAGCCAGAAAAGGCTATTTAAATGGTTACTTTGTAAATAACCTGTATGTGCCACAAACCCAAGGATCTGAACTACAAACCTTCAGGGTTGACTCATGAAGGGGGGAAGGTGTCTGCCAGAGATGGTAGATGAACAAAGTGATTTGCTGTGTCCTCTTCCTCCTCTCCCTTCCCCTGGCTGTCCCTCCACCCATTCAGTTTKCAGCTGAAGTTTTTTAAGCCTGTGGAACTCTCTGATTGATAGAATGGAGGGCTGGTAGTGTCCCACGAATGGGTGACTCCTCAGTGTCTGCCATGCAGGGGCAGGGGCTACAACCTGAAGAGGTTGTAGCTGTGCATGATGGTGCAGAAACAGTAAAGTTATTGCATGGCCTGCTCTGTCCCTTCTGTGTTTCTTTTTAAATTAGCTTGGGTATAATAGCTCCATGTTAATCACACCTCACGAATATTGCTGAATTGCTGACTCYTGACCTTTGATTTGAGCCAAATCTTCCCCTAGGATAATTAATAGAGGCTTGGCTAGTATTTCCTCAATAAATGCGTCTATAAAATGGGTTTGGAGCAATTTTCATTTGTGCCACTGGAGATGAGAATTAAAAGGGATGTCGAGGTGGCTTATGCTGTGTGTGGCAGGAGGAGTGGCCATGGGCTGGAGGTGAGACTGTGGTTTCCTGCAGTCTTACTGATAACYTCAGTCCTGAGGTCCTGAGACTCTTCCTTCTCACCATCTTGCTGAGGCTTCCCTAGGATGCACCTGACAAAGCTGAGAAGCTTGGACGCTGGTAAACTGGAGAGGAGCAGGTGTTTTCCTTGCAAAGAAGGATCTGATGCTCCAGCAAACCTCTACTCATTGTTTTATTTTCCTTATCTTCTTCCCTTCAGYTGGTGGGATATGAATCCATGTCCCTCTTCAAGGATATGTGCTGGGCACACACAGCCTRCAAAACCAGCATACACCCGGTGTTTGCAGTTGGAAGAGATCCTCAGTCTCTTGGTGCTTCCTTTGCTAACAAAGGCTTAAGTGCACCTTCCACRGGCTTTAGCTGGGTGCTTTGTGTATCTTTTGATTAAACTGGGACTGTGTTTTTTACCAGGGCCTGCAGATCTCCCCAGTGGTCCTTTTCATCAGGATGGTCCTTTTCACAATGTTTTATGTGAAGCCTGCAWAACCTTTAGTGTKGCTCATTCCTCCTGCTTCCTCCCCTGTGAAAAAGGGCACTGTGAGTAGACCAGAGCCTGAGCATTCCTTGGCTGATCCCCARGGGGAATTTCCAAGGTAAATTTCTGTCTTCAGAGACTCAGCATCCCAAACAAATCTCAGAAAAGACCTTGCTGCCGCTTAGCTTCCCAGATCTGCGTTAATGCTCCTGTTTATCAGAGAGCAAGAATGAGCCATGCRTCAGCTTTGGAGCCAAGTGGCATCAGCATTTTTAGTGGAGCATATCTTTGGAAGGGAAAAGCCTTACTATGARTAATTAAGGGCTGAGGAGGCATCAGGTGCTCAGAGGGCTCTGCTAGCCTTTCTTTCAAAGTGGATGGCTGGGTCTTCATGTGTGTTTTTGTGTGGGTTGTCAGCTTCATATGGAGGGTGCTGGTTATTGGATGTCTGATGTTGATAWATTTATGAATCCCACCTCTTTGTGWTGGCTTTAGGTAATCTGGAAGCAAATGTGTGTAWCAGAGCTGGAGGGAATGCCTGTCTAATCAGCCAGAAACACAGGCTTTCTTTTTCCTCCCCCTTCCTCAGCAGGGATGGATAGGTTTGGTGCAGGCTTTTGCTACCAGGTGTGATTTTGTAGGAGTTTCATAGTCTCACTTACAGCATCTATTAAGCTTATTGCAGAAATGCATCTTTTAAACATGAGTTGTCCCTGTACTGTCTGATGGGAGAGGAGGCTGTTGTGAGCAGGGGGTTGGCAGTGCTGTGTCTGCTCCCACTGTCACACTGGAGGAGCTCAAATGAGCAGCTCAGGTGCTGTACTGAAGCTGGTGCTGAAGCACAGAGGAGTTGACTGGCTTGTCATCAGTCACGAGGCTTCTGTGCACTTCAGAAAGTGGGATCCTGTATCCTTGTGCCTTTTCTTTTTTGTTTTGTTTGGCAAAAAAAGCCTATAACAGCGATGTGCTTGTGATCTTCYTTTTTTGTGCTTGTAATAACTGTTGATGTGACTGCTGCAGAGCCTTTGAGCAATCAATTCCTCAATATCACTATTTAACCCAAAGTAAAGAGAATTCTTTCCATGAATGAGTTGTTACAATACTCTTCATTTTCATGTAGATTTTGTGCAGAGGCAGTTTTTCTCCTTGAATGTTGTTCTTAATTCACCACGTGACACGGACTGTAGGATGTCCAGGCTAAAGGTTTGCTGCTACCCATGGCAGGTCAGCGCTGTTGGCCACCCCCTGCATTTAGAAATGGAAAAGTCTGTATGAGAAGTGTCTTCAGGWGCTCTCTTGTTTTGCAGATACTGTAGCAAATGCTTCTGGTCCTTTACTAGTTGAAATAGCAAAAACTCCAGGGTCTACACTGGGGATCACACTGACCACAGCCATGCACCGGAACAAGCAGGTCATYGTCATCGACAAGATCAAGCCGGCCAGTGTGGTGGACAGGTACAGATCTCAGCAGGCTGCTCCCAGCTCTGCTTTTCCTTCTCAGTTACTTTTTTGTCCTCTTGTTAGTTATATACCATTTTTCTTGGTGTTGCCTTGAAATATCCACAAGAGCACATTCACATATCCTTAGCACTGTTTGTGATAAAAATATCTGACCCACCAGCAGTGGCCACTCCTCACTGGGAGTGAATGCAACTCAGTGAGCATGTGAAAGCTGAGCTCTGCTTTAAAAACCTCAGGTCTGACTGCCCTGGAGCTGTGAAATGGCTAAAGCCTGTCATGGAAACTTCTGGCTGGAGCCTTTTCCTGATGGACAAGGCAGGACCCTGTACCTGAGGATGCACAGACAGGCTGCTGTGCAGCACTRGCTGTGTTCAGGCATGTTGCTGAGCTGCACTCCTGGCTCCCRGGACGTAATTACACTTCTGAGTGAGCCTTGAGCTGTCCAGACTGGCTATGAAGGGGCACTCTTACAAACAAAAAAGAATTTTTGCTAAGCCACCAGCAGCACTGACTGAAACATGAACCATCTTAATTGGTATTTTGGGTAACGCTTGAACCTAAAGTTCAAATTGGAATTTWAAAAAATGATCCGTGAAAAGAAATTAGCAAGAATTTGCACAACAATTCACAGCTGAATTTTGTGTATGTGCTGCTGCCTGCAAGGAYGTGGGTTTTGGCTGTGTGTGTAATTACCTCTCCTGCTGTTTCCTTTGCAGATGTGGTGCGTTGCACGTTGGTGACCACATTCTCTCCATCGACGGCACGAGCACAGAGCACTGCTCCTTATTAGAGGCAACTCAGCTTTTAGCTGCCACTTCAGAAAATGTCAAGCTAGAGATATTACCTGTTCACCAAAGCAGGCTGCCTTTGAAGCCTCCAGAAACAGGTGTGTCTTCTGTGCCAACGCTGTTGGTCACCCTCAGAACTCACTTTAGGTCGCTACAAGGGGTTCTTGCTTTYGCGCGCTGGCAACAGATTCCTAAGAGAGACATCTGCAGAGGGGAAGAAACCTGATGTTTTGATGAAATGWATGTGATTAGATGACGTTCTTCAAGGATGTGAATAGGAAAAAGAGGCAGCATCTGAACATCTGTGCTTGAATRGGGAAATTGGTGATGGGAATCCCAGGGTTTTGCAGTGCTGAGTGCTGTGCAAGCCACTTCCTTAGTACCTCAGATAAGAGACTTTAATGGAGAGGGAGGAAAACAGCCATGCTGCTGGCAAATGCATTTCCAAGCTCAGTTTTTATTTGCTGATGCATGGTGAGACTTTGTAAAGGACATGTTCAGTGGCTGGRCAGGCTCCTGATGGACTTCCAAAGCTGGAATGTAATTGTTCACCTTTCAGACCAGCCTGCCTGAGAGGCAGCTGTGTCTGGGCAGCCAGGGGTAGAGTGAATGCATCTGCAGCTGCTGGTTTCCACCACCCCTACAAAAGAAATACTGAGGAAGTAAATTCTGGCTCCAGTAAGCTCCAGTCCAAAATGCCTGTAAATGTCATTAGGAATTCAGCCCAGTGAGCTTTCTTGTTCCCCACCTGTAGTTCCTCCCTCCCCAYGTGAGGCTGTCTCAGGCTCTCCTATAAATTTCGTTGTGACCATGAGCTCAGTATATTTGTTGCAGCTCTTGCCTGCAGTTTTGTTAGTCTGTACTGGCAGTCTTGTAATTCATGTGTTTGGGGTGTGACTGTTCAGTACCAGTCCCTTTTTCCACTGTTTTCAATCACTTGTCTGTCAGGGACATGCATTTTAATAATATTGATGCACAGTAGCCCTGGGCACAGCTGCTCTTTCCATTCTCTTCTAGGGTGGTTTGGGTAAAGAGGAAATATCTGTATTGTCTTCTTTAAACTGATACAGTGAAACCTAAAACCATCTCCATGTCTAGAAATAAAYGTCTTACATGTCCAGTCCCATTTGTGTAGAATTGAAGCAGTTTAACAGAGGGAATGGATGACTTGACCTTTGTGCCCAGGAAAAAATGGAAAACTATTATCCTTTTTCAATGGCAGTTAAAATGAACTATTCTCCTCCTTCCATTAGTGCCCCGTTCCTAATCTTCTTGCAGAATATGAGCAGCAGCTCAGGAGAAGGGGGCTCTGTGGAAGGACAGCTCTGTGTGCTCAGAGCCTATTTACCCAAACCCTCATACACAGATCAGTCTGCTGTGGAAGAAATACAGAACTCAAACTAAGGACAATAATTGCAATACATGATTATGAAAACTGAAAGATATAACAATTGTTCCCACTTTTGATTAAAGTCTTTAACACTTGAGGGATCATAGGGAAGGATGCTGTGCCAGCTCCAGGGGCTGCTCTTTCTGAGTTTAGCAAACAGGGAGAGTGTGGAAACATGGGCCCTGCAAAAACAAACTCTGTGTTTGGGAAGAGAGTGGAGCCCTGGGAAAGAAGCTGAGGAGAGGAGATGATGCAGATCCATCCCTGTTCAGCACTTGCATTACTGAATCCTTTCAGCCTGTGCCTGCATGGTGTTTGTCATTACAGTTTTTCAAAAGTGGCTTCTTGTGCAATCAACATCTGGTTGGAAGAGATGGAGAGGGATCTGAGGCTGCAGTGGTCATGCAAAAATATGGCCTRATGCTGAAGCATGGGATTTGTCAAACTGAGTTGGCTTCCTCTGTGGTTCTGGGGGCACTTGGAGAGTTTGTGGGAGGATTATGCTCTGCTCTGAGGATCAATGGGAGCAGATGGTGCCTGGGAGCAGTGCTGGGATGGATGGGTTTCCTCAGGCAGGGATGATGTGTGAAWGATTGGGGAAGGCTGTTGTAGGGTTTTTTTTCCACAGAATTGTCCAAAATGCCTTCTCTTCCCTGATTTGTTGACAGCTGAGTTTCAAAGGCACATTTTTTTCTKCTGTCAGATGTAAGCTTAGAATTAATAGACAAATGGGAGAGTTTTAGTTGTTATAAGTGGATTAAATTATTTTGTGTATATGCCCATAAGCTCTGTCCCTCATGTTCAAAGTGTTTAATTTTATTAAGAACTTTTCTTTTTCTCTAGATACAGCTAATTTGATTGTTGTTTTTAAAAGCTGCCTGGCTCTGAATTTACTTTTGAAAATACACAAAATAGAAGCCCCAGAGCTGGAAGTGTATTTTTAAAAGCCTGATAGACTAAGCGCTAAACCCACTAAATGTTTAAYGAAGACTAAATATAATCCCTATATTGGCTGGAAAATCTGATCTAAATGGTTTAATGCCTGTGATGCACACCCAGAAAATGGATTTCTGCTGTTCAAGACACTAACAGATGACCTTTAAAAATCTCTGGATGGACTCACTAAATAAAATAAGTCCCTCTCCTGGGTTGGTGCCCTCAGAACGTTCTGGTAGTGCCAGTGCTGGTGACATTTCTGCCTGCTCAGAGGACYCAGAGCCAGGAGGAGATGTCATCCTGGGAAGGTGCTTGCCAGTCAGTGCAAGTGGTTGCGAGGTTAAGGACCAGTGGCTGCGGTGATGCTCTGCTGGGGGATGCTCTCCATGCTTAGCTGAATAAAACAGCTTGAAATCTTASTTGTTGGCCAGAAATTCCTCCTGGGCAGCATGGTGCAGGGATTTGGGACAATCACCTGGTGTTGGGCAAGGAAGGCCAAAAGGAGCATCAGTGAGAACAGACAAGAGACCTGTGCCTGGGGACTGCTTGAGGCACTGCAGAAGAGACTTTTGGCACTGTGACTTGGTGTCACAAAGCTGCAGTTCCTGAGCACGGAGTTTCCAGATGATGGATATCACACTGCAACAGATTCTGCCAGCAGGTGCTGGGGTTAGGGTTGAAGTTAGAGCAGTGGTGTGCCCTTGAACATGCTCTGCCATGTTGGTGTTGTGCTTTAATTTGCTGTTTGCCACAGCATTGGCATCGTTTCTTGTGCTGGTGGCCCTTCTTAACTGGCTTTAAGCAGCAGTGTATGAGCCCCCTTTTGCTGTGGTGAGCTGGAGGTGGCTCTCTGCTGCTCCTCTCTTTCATCCAAGTGTGCGTTCCTGTGCAAGAGCAGCTGCTAAACAACCGAAGGCTGAAGCCAAGCAAAGTACTCGCAGCAGTCCTTGGCACACGGGGAARGCTTTGAGCCTTGTCCCAGGGAGGGCAGCTCKGGCAGCAAGGTGGGAAGCAGCTCARGGAGGCTTCCCTGGTGCTGTCAGAGAGTGCTGATGGCCTCTGCAGGAAACTGTGTCTGAATGGAGCYTCTGCACATYGCACAACAGACTGCAAATGGTGATGACATGTGTGCGCTGCCAGCGTGGCTGAGTCAGGCTGCTGGCACAGGATGCAGAGTTTTTTATGGGAAAGGGGCAGATTTCTGCCACTTTGCATCAAGTGTCACGAGGTTACGCGGGGTTGTGTTTTTGGTGCTGGTGCTTGGCATGCAGTGGTTGAGTCCTAACTAGTACATCAGTATAAGGCTCTTTTCTACAATCTCCTGGTTTATGGTTCTTACCTTTTCTTTGTCTCATTTCTCCTTCCTGCCTGTGGTGATTGCTGCTCCCCTGGATGCCTTCAGTCAAGGTGCAGAAGAGTGACCACCACCATTGCTGGGACCCCTGTGTCAACTACTGTCACACCCACCACCCTGGACACTGCAAGACACCCACCTGGAACCAGACATCTGCACAGGATTACTGCAAATGTAACCTCAGTGCACAGCACTGCTCTCATGCTGCATGTGTTCCTTCTTGTTGTGCCCCTCCATTTCCTTAATTTTCAGGTCCACAGTGTGTCTTGTCACTTGTTCYCTCCTCAGTTTTCTGGTTCTGTCTCCACAGGCCAGTGCTGAGGTACAAAATCAGTATCTGCAGCCCCTGCACACACAGATCTGGTAACTGGGACAAGGGCAGTGTGCTGGGCAGTCCCATGCACCCATCCTCTAACSCCACAGCCCTGTGCCTGGTTTCAGACAGCAAAAATGCGTTGCTGTGGGACAGGGAAGGGTGTCTCTGSTGTTGTGTAGGAATGGGATATAGCAACACATCAGCTGAGCCCTAGTGCCATACAGCTTGTTAACAGCAGGATTATGGCTACTTCAAAATCTGTAGATGCACTTGTTGTCAGGGGTGGGGTCTGTGCTGCCCCAGGTTTCTTATCTTGTGGCAGTAAGACAGGGAAGAGGAGACATTGCACTGTGTCCACATGGTGGGAAGCAAACATTCCTTGTGTCTTGGTCCCTGGTGTTTGGTGCCAGAGTCAGTGAGTGAGCTCTCTGCTGCACATCCCTCACACGCTCTCTGTTTCCCCAGCTCTGGTGGCCGCCAACTTCTCGTCTCCCACCATGAACRCACAGGGATTCCCGTGCCAGAACTCCAACACGCTACCTCGCAGCTCCCACCCCATGAGCCCCCGCACCACCATGCTGAGGAGGAGGCAGAAGAAGAAGGAGCACAAGAGCTCACGTAAGAGCAGTCTCGGGCTGGGGCTGGGTTGGATGGGGTGCACACGTCCTTGCTGTCCTTGTTGTCAGCTGTTAGCCAGGGTAGAACCACTCATSTCAGCACTGCCAGTGCCTCCCTCATCCCTGGTCCCTGTCCCATCACCATCAGACTCAGGTTTGTGACCCAGGCTGTTGTTTTGACTGTGCCTGCCCTGACCTTGTGCCTCTCTCCTGCTCTCAGTGTCGCTGGCCTCCAGCACGGTGGGTCCTGGCGGGCAGATCGTCCACACAGAGACGACAGAGGTGATCCTCAGGGGAGATCCTTTGAATGGCTTCGGACTCCAGCTCCAGGGAGGCATTTTTGCTACCGAAACTCTGTCTTCCCCACCTCTCGTCCGCTTTATTGAGCCTGACAGCCCGGCAGAGAGGTTAGAGACCTTGCCCTTGGATGCTGATGGTGCTGCTGCTGCTGAACATTTCATGGTTTGGTTTGTTTTCTCTCCTCAGAGGCTCATTTAGATATTTACTATCATCCTTGTAATATCTCCCATTCTTCACTGGGCATGGTTTACTGTCACTGCCATTTCTGCACTCGTCGGCTGACCGYGGCCTCCCTCGCACCCCAGGTGAACGTCTTGGCACCAGGCTGCGGCTGGTCTGGGAGGAGGAGGAAGGGAGTGTGTGTCTGTGTGAGAGTGCCATTCCCATTACCTTTTTTTGTTTCTTTAATTTCTCTTTGAAAGGTAAATCTTTTGTATAGGTGCAGAAAGGGGCAAGGTGTAATAAGCAGCCCCTGCAAAATATTTTCTGACTGATTCCATTGTAGCAGAGCCCAGCTATATAAAATTGCCTTAAAGGCAAGACTTTGAACCATAGAGAGGGCTCTGGTTGAGGAGCAGGAAGGTGCTGCAGTTAATCCCTCCTGCTTTTGGCTCTGTGATGCTGGGGAAGGTGCAGAAGGGAGGAGCAGCATTAACTTCTCTGTATCAGCCCTGAGGACACTGGGAGTGGTGGAGCCTCAGCCCTGGAGTACAGCTGCTCCCAATATCCTTGCTGGTTGGATTTAGAGTCTGCCCAAGGGCCTGTGCTCTACAATGTAGGTGCCTTCTGGAAAGGCTTTTGTTACTGAACAGGTCAAATCCTAGCATGGTTGGATCTCTTGAGGGGTGAAAAGGAGAACTGATTTTGTTAGGCTGGCACTTAATGCCTCTGTGCTCATTTCCCTTCCTACCTGTGATTACCACTGTGGTTTGTCCTGCCTAGGAGTGCCAAAGGTGCAGCAACGTGGCAGTACCCAGTGCCTGCTGCAGACCCTTTCTCAGAAGTGTCTGATGGCCCCATCAGCATGTGCTGAAGGTTTGGTGTCTCCAAACCAGCCCAGAAAAACAGCAGATGGAGGAGTTTTGACTYGTGTGGCAGGGAAGGTGTCTGTAAAATGAAATGCAAGTCCTTGCTGTGCAGACCCATCTCTGTGCTGTAGCCTCTCCAGTCAGCCAGTGCAGAGGCAAGGTGGAACAGGAGTGCCTGGTGCTTGTGTCTGTGGGAGGATGGGGACAAGGGGCTGGCACAGGAAAAAGAGMTGTCTAGATGCAGGTTAGGAGAGATTTCAAAAGGCTGTCAAGCCTTTTGTTTGYTTGTTTGTTTCCAAACAGAGTTTAAAAATTAAGGTGATGGTGTTACAGTTTTTTTTAGCCTCTATTGCGGGCAAATTTGGCTCACATTGCAAAGCACCAAACTCTTTTTATAAATCAGGCAGCAACAAAGCCTGCTGTCGCAGGGGACAAGGGAGATGTGCTGAAATCCTCCTGGCTTTGCTTTATGTTCTTGCCAAGCCTGGAGGAAAAGCAGAGAGTGGCAGCACAGCCCTGCCTGGCTCTGGTGTGTCACACAGGCTGCTCGCCCACCCGGCAGCATTCACGCTCTCCTGGCTGCCTCTTGCTGGAGACTGGGAGCAATCCTCTCTGCATTTGCAGCCTGGATTTGATTTGGGGATTAAATCTCTGCTGTGCATTTTGTTCTTTCCTAAACCATACTGCTCTTCCTAGCTGGCAGGAAAATGCTGTCTTTCCTCCCCGTCTTGAAGTGATAAGTGCACTGGGTTCGCAGTGAAGTGAAAAAGGCAGTTTTATGTTTTCATTTCACTTTTTGTTTCTTGTGATTTCACAGAACTCTTTGCTCTGTCGTTCAAGATCCCTTATTCCCTGCTATTTAGAGGTTCTGCTGTAGCTGYAGCCCAAGACATTAGAGCCCTTTTCATCCCCTTACCCTGCTGAGCTCCTGGCTGAGGCTGGGCCATGCTCYTCCTTGTGCTGCAGCTTTTGCTCTTTGCCAAAAAGTTGAGCTGTGGGGATACAGGGATCAGGCTTAGCAGCCTGGGTCTGAYCAGGATTTCACAAACTCTGCAAAACCGGTGGATCTGAAGCTGCTGTTGTACAAACACATGATCCACATTGGCTTTGTCCATCTGGGTTGCTGTGGAGGAGCTGCCTCTGGGGTCCCCAGCAAGTGTGAGTACTACCAGGGAGGACCGTGGCATTACCCTATTTTCAGGGAGATTGGGCTGCCTCACATTTGTTGTCTACTTTGTGCTAGCTTGTGGCAGGCAATTTGATGCAAAAATTCTCACCTGTCTGACTTGTGATTTGTTTTACTGCAAATAGCCTCTAATAGACCTCCCTTCCCACCTGTTGTTTTGTTTCCAGGGTGCATGATGAAGCCTTTGGGTTCTGAATGACACTGATTCAGCCCCTGTTATCAGCAGGGAGGGTGGAAGGGGAAGAAGCCTGACATCCCCTCTTGGCTACCTTGAAGCACACAGCTTTAGTGTCCTTCCTCCCCCAGCTGTCATTGGCAGCAGAGGGGGAGTATCTGACTTCTCCATCCCGGTATCCAAAATCAATGCTTCCTGCTGAGCTACATGGTTTCTAGCTCTGCTCAGACACAGTTGTTTGATCATTGTGTTTCTGGCTTTTGGGTATGAAGAGTTTGCAAAAGCGAAGTTCAGCAGCTGGATGAAGCTGTCAGCAGAGCTTTGATCCATGGGGGGCTGAGACACACCCACTGATGTGCAGGCACAGATGGGCACACTCAGAGATGGGCACACTCAGAGATGGGCACACTCAGAGATGGGCACACTCAGAGATGTGCACACTCAGATGTGCACACTCACACATGGGCGCACTCACAATGATGTGCACACTCACACAGATGTGCACACACAGTGATGTCCACACACAGAGATGTGCACACTCACACATGGGCACACTCACAATGATGTGCACACTCACACAGATGTGCACACTCACAATGATGTGCACATTCACAGAGATGGGCACACTCTCAGAGCTGTGCACGTCTGACCTGTGCAGGCCAGCTTAGGGCATGTAAGGACACAACAGATGCGTTTCTACATCCAGCAATGCGGCCATGGTCGCCGCTGCTCCCCCCACTGCTGGAGTGACCATGCAGATATAGATGATGCTGAGTGAGCTCTTCAGTGCATATCCTGCCCAAGGCTTGAATAAGTGCTGCTCTGTATCAAGCAAGACACCTCCGCTGCTCTGTTGCTGTCTCTAAGCCCAAGGAGTGAGTCATGGCAAAATGCAAATCTGTTCTACCCCAGGGAGAAAATCCCATCATGGACTCCAACACATCCATAGGGTTGTCTTTTACTCCAGGAGATGCTTGTACTCCTTTCTGTTTTTAAGACACTGCTGCTCCCATAGTCTCAAAGCACTTTGTGGGCGCTGATGTTAGACTAAGCATCTCTGAGACTGATGCCCTTTCTCTGGAAAAACTGTCAGAAGATTCTTGTACGATCCCATGGCAGAGCTAGAGATCTTTGCAAGACCCTTGGCTCACCAGCCTCTGCTCCCAGTGCCAGGACACATAACAACTGGAAGTGGTTGTCTCTGGAATGGTTCTGAAAGGTTAACATRGCACTTCAGGCCTCCTTGCACTTGTAGAGGAATCCAGAAGGTTGTGGCTTCACTCCACAAACTTTTACAAACCTGCAAGACCAGGGCTTAAACAACTGTGATCGACTGAGGCTAATAATAAAAGAAATAAAATATCTCTGACCTAACAGAGTTGTTGGCTGTAAAACACTCGGGCAGATCTACCTTGAGTGAAGAAATGTGAGAAATGGCTGTTTTGGGAGAAGGCAGTTTTGGTAGGAAAGGTGACAAAGGTTTGCTTTGATGCAGTGTAAAAGTATCCTGTGAGCTCCCAGCCCTTGTAGCTGAGACAGTGGTGCCAAAATGGACTGTGTCCCTGTGTGACCCTGGGATGACAGTGATGTCTGAGGGATGCAGCTGTTGGTTTTTCCTTGGCAAAAGGTGCACTGGGGCCATAGCGAGAGAAGTCCTGGTGGCAGAGCAGTCATGTCTGTTGTACTCTGTGTCATCTTYGTATTTTTAAGCTGGTATTTCTAAGTGCATCTATGTGACTGCATAGCCACAAGTCCAGTAAAGGATCATAATTAAACTTGATGCAATTTRTTCACAAGGGTGGGTTCATTTATACATCATGGAGTTGTCTGTCCTCATCCAAGTCTCCTTGAACAAACAACTCTGAATTTGCATCTCATAAAATAGCCAGTGTTTTCCTGTGAATGGCATGAACTCAGGCAGAAGTGTGAATATATTACAAGTTCAGTACCTTTTTACCAGTAAAATAGCTTTCCTTGACTCTTTCCAGACTTTATTTCTCAACTTTTGATGGGCCACTGGCACAAACTGTTGTGCTTGTTCATTTTTCTTGAATTCGGATGTGTGTACTTTTTCTTAATAACTGATCTTTTATATACATCCTGTTTTTGGAGGGGAAGAATGCAGCCAAGTGTCTGTTGCCTTTGATGCCTTTGTGTGCCTGGAAACTGTGGTGCTGTGTTTTCTTACATCTGAATTGGGTGTGAGTGATGAAGTGTGACCGGAAGGTTTAGGAAAAAACAAGCTGTCTTCTGTAAGGTATTTGTGAAAGAAAGGGGAAGGCAAAGATTTGTTTGATCATTAAACAGGAGGGGAATAAAGATTCTTGGAGAAAGCTCAAAACAGGATGGTTGATATTTGGCTCCACATTTTGAGGGGAACTTTAGACCTGATGCCATAACCCTCAATCTCTTTTGGACACCACTCTGTAGCCTTTGTTAATGATGGGTGAAGAATGGTTTCCAAAGCTCTGCTCAAGTGGACAGCCAGGTGATGAGTGGAAAGTATAAAAAGATGTGGTTAAAGTAAACTGTGGATAGAGGAGAAGGAAGATGGGCAATTTCCCATGGTTACAGTCAACTCTGTGGTCTTGAATTTGTAGAGCCATGGGCCAGCTCAGGTGGGAGCTGACTGAGATTGTGTGGGAGATAACTTGGAGAATCATCTTGCTGGCGTTGCAGTGTATGTAAAAAAAGAAAAAAGGAGTGTGGGTGGATACTGAATGTAGGAATGGTGAAAAATACCCTGCTTTTGAATACCAGGGGGTCCCAAGAGGCGAACTGTGCTGTAGCAGTGCATCTTCCACATAGCCTTAGCATCATGTTCTTCTTCCAAAGCAAAAATCCTGCTGATCTCAGTTCCTGGAGAAAGTGGGTCTAAACCAAAAGCCCCAAAGAGTCAGTTGTGGTTATATTGTCAGGCTGTCACACTGGAATAATATTGGCTTTTCAAGGCAGTTAAACAGTATCACTGTACATTTGGCTTCCAGAAATGCAATTAGAAGGGAGAAATGATTATCCAATTTGCTGAGACATTTCRGTGAGTTTATTGGATTGTAGCTTCAGTATTTGCTCTGTACTAAGCAGAGGAATCTGTGCCATTTTCAGTGCCATTAGTTTGTGTTCCAGAGGGTGCAGGTGCATGGAAAAGACGTTTGTGGTTTGATAGGGAAGGAAGTCACATTCCCTTGTGTTTATCATTCTCATCGCTCAGCCATGGTGTTGGTTTTTAGAAAAGTGAGGGTTACTTTTTTTCCCCTTGGTTGTTGCAAAAAATGTGACTAGAAATGGTTATTTAGGAGCGAAGTGTGTTTGAACTTCAGAAACCCACTGAGGTTTGCTTCCTTGTGCCCTTCCAGGGACCCTGGAACMGGCACTGCAAAATGAGTTATTTTCTCTCTGAGGCCACTTCTGCAGAGTTTGTCACTACTTTGTGTGTCTTGTAACAGATTTGCCTGGCTAAAGTAACTCATAGCTGGTTGTGGGGTTGTTTTTTCCTCCTTTCCTTTTTTTTCCTTGCCTCCTTGTTCCCGTTCCCTCTTTTCCCCCTTGTGAACTGCAGGTGTGGACTGCTGCAGGTGGGGGACAGAGTCCTTTCCATCAACGGCATCGCCACAGAGGACGGGACCATGGAGGAAGCCAACCAGCTCCTGCGGGACGCGGCGCTCACCAACAAAGTGGTGCTGGAGATCGAGTTTGACGTTGCAGGTAATTCCCGAAGGAATTGCTGCTCCCCTCTACCTGTAGGACTCTGCCAGTGCCTTTGCTAACCTGTAGGAGGGAGACAGAGGGAAGAGTGAGAAGCCCTGTGAGGACCTTTTCCATTTCTTGTTCTCAAATGTGCACTGAGGTGGAGGGTTCTTCTTCTGATCCTTTCATAAATGTTTTGTGCTCATTGCTTGGCTGAGATAAGCCTGAGGARTAGATGAAGAGGACACACTTTAAATATTTGCCCATTAATAGGAATAATATTTATATTCTTTTATGGCCTTGAAGCCAGGAGGGAGCCAAAGCTATAGGCTAGGGCTAAAGTGCAGCTTTGTATTAAAAAAGAAATATTTTTTCCTTTTACATTGACAGTGCTGCTTCAATCTTGAAATACAGTGTGATGTGAGCACTTCACTTGATGTTCAGAGCATGTATTTTTAATGAGAATCCAAATTTCAACCTGAAGTCCACAGGGCCTTAGATAACCTTATTTGAACCAATAAAGCAGTGCTTTGTGGGCTTGTTTTCTTGGTTCCAAAGAAACCATCCATGAGACTGAAAACTCTCTTTTTTCTCCTTTTTTGTCTTTTTTGTCTGTTTTTGGCTTKATAGAGTCTGTCATACCCAGCAGCGGTACTTTCCACGTTAAATTGCCCAAGAAAAGAGGTGTAGAGCTTGGAATCACAATCAGCTGTAAGTATTGCTCAGACTTGCAGTAGCAGTTGCGAGAGTCTCTGCTTTCCACACAGGCACTGCAGAGGGCTCAATGGAGAGAGATAAGATCCTTTGGGGTTTCTGTAGCACTCCAGTGTTCCTGATTTATCCCAGACTGAATCAGASGTGTGGTTCCTGCCTCCATGAGCTGGTGACCACAGAGAAAAGAACTGCATGAAGGGTTGGGGCAAAGGATATGTCTCAACTGATCACTTGATCTGTAGTGCAGAGTATTATTGTATTATATTATTAGTAGTATTATTTTTATTTCCTTGCTCACACTTGTATTATGTTCTTTTTTAAAAGAATTGCGTGGATCTGGTGGGACCTTTGCAAAAAGAGTTAAAGAGAGGAGAACAAGTGAGAGATGAATCCCACAGCCCGGAGGGTAGAGAGGGAGGAGGAGAAGGAGGAGCATGGAGGGGATGGTGGGTCTTAGAGCAGGGGGAGGCACATTAAATTCCAGGGTTTGCCAGGAACTGTTTCATTGGCTAACTCAAGCCATGCAGAAGGAGAGCTATGTGCCACGACTTGGTGTGCACTGAGACGAGAGGACATAAACCTTTTTTCTTCTTTTCTCTCTTCTCTGCTCATTCTTGGTTAATTATCTTTGTTTGTCTTCTGAGCATAGTTTTTCATTTTTCATTTCCTTTTGAGAGGATGCTGTAGGGGGATGATACAGGCAGGTCTATCCCTAATTTCTGGCTAACTCTGGCCTAGTGTCAGTGAATTTTTCCTTTGTTGCAAACGGATGCAGGTCTCTGATCCTCATCCGTCTTCCACTTCTGGGTAAAGCGAGTTGAATCATCTCAGCTTTGCCATACCCAGAAAATGCCACCACCTCTGATCTGAAACAGAGCAGCTTGTGAGACTGCAGTAATGGGATCTCCTGTCTAAGCCCTCAGGAGCGTGGACCCAGCTGTTTCTGGGGAATGGAGTTGCAAGGGACACTTGAAAACTGGGTTTCATTAAAGAGATAAGATGAGGTAATTACCTCTTGACATTTACAGYGTTAGTTAGTGAGTTAATTGGAGGTGCTGTGGTCTAAGTGGGGTGATTCTCAGGAGTGACTGGAGCATTGACAGGATGATGCCTTTGTACCTTGTGATATTTCTTCTCCCTTTTCTCAGCTTCCCCTATTTGTGCCATGAGGACAATCCTGAGAAATAACAGCACAGTATTTAACATTTGGCTTGGTAGCAATTACTGTCTGAAGACATCAAAGTGCTTTCTGAAAGCAGCAGGACGTCTGTAATGGCATTTCACTGGCAGGGAGCAGTGCACGCAGCCTGTGCTGGGTTCCAGCCTGCTGCCCTGCCCCTGCCTTGGCATTCCAGCCTCAGGGAGCAACCTGGGATAATGGAGCTGCTAGCAAAAAACTGGCTCCACCAAGGCCTATTAAGTTTCAAAGTTTAGTTTGTGTCTGGGGATGGAGAGTAAAATGAACCTGAGAGCTGCTGGCAAGAATGTAAGTTTTTATTTGTGAAGTCTKATTTGAAGGGGATCTGCTTCAGATGTGCATTTGCACTTCAAACATATTTTTGTGTTGGTAAGGTTTTCATTTCAAATTTGTTTTAAAAAGTAATTTCAGACACCTTTTTGAAATCACTGCTAATAGAAAGAAACTGACCCCTGGATTTTAAATAGATGTCCATTATCCAACTTCAAAGCAGTTTTTTGACACTATAWTTGATTTGATCTTTTTGATTGCTGAACATGTTTGTAGGACATTGTTTAAGTAATGCACATGCATAAACTTAAAATGCATTGCAGTCCTTTGCTGAGCCAAAGCCAAAATGATATTTACAAATGGAGAAAAAGGTACCCAGAAAATGCAGTGGCAAGGATGAAATTCAAGCTGAATCCTAATTCTGTTTGCATATATTAGTCTATATAAGCCTATGCCCACATGATCCTTAGCAAATTAGATCATCATTTTGTCACTTTGCCTCTGACCAGGCAGATAAATACACCAGTTTCAAACATTAAAAGCAAAGCAAGCAGCCTTATGYTAAGTACTTCCTGCAGAAACATGATGTGCATGCAGGAGTGTGATGCAAGCAGCAAAAGAGAAGAGGTAAAAATAACCCTCCTTTGTTTTGCTCAGTTCCTTTCCTCTCAGTTCTGCTGACTTGAGTGCTTGTGTAGATCTGGAAACAGCTTTTACAGCTTTCTGTCTGATATGGGGAAGAATATAACAGCTGTTTTAAAGGAGAGGGCTGGGTTTACTGGCCTCTTGCTTTGGATTCCTGTTCCCTACTCTGTAAAACTGGAGCAGCTTAAATAGATGTCAAAATGGAGGGGTCAGTAAAAGACCCCTGGCACTGTCGTGGCCACAGAACTGGGTTTATTAATGAACTTTATGGTCTAGCTACGCTGCAGATGTAACATGAGTTGCTTTCATTGAGTTTTACCTCTTAGCTTCAGCTGGCTTCTCTGTAGTTAATTCCTCTGCCTTGGAAGGTTTGCTTCTGCCTTCATAAATGGGCAGAAAGTGTTACGACCTCATCAGAGGAGCACTACAGAAATAAATGTGATCAAGTTCTTGCTGTGCTGTGGCTCTCAGAGCTAATTGGGAGATGGACTAAGTAAAGGTGGGGGGAGAGGAGGATGCTTGATGGATGCCTTGGAAGAATTCACGTAATGGAGCTGGCTGCAGGAGGAACCATAAATCTGCAGGAATTGCTCATAAAAGGGCTGAAAACACAGGATATTTGTGTATGAGGAGGGCAGACCCTGCTGGTTCTGGGATGAACATACAGAGAGGGCCTGTACTCGCTGCTGGTGAGGGGCAGATGTTTGCTGAGGGCATTTAATCTTCTCAGAGGTCTCAGGGTTTTCCAGAAAGRGAAGGCTTGGGCTGGATGAGTCTCCAGCTGTGGTCTGAGAGCACGGATGGGTTTCTTCCCCCTGCTCGAGCACAGTGTGGCAAAGGGACGCAGCAAATCAAGATGCATGATGGAAATACATGTATACTGCACTATTTCCCCTTCTATTCCCCAAAAGATGAGTACAAAGTCCAAGGGGTGAGTCCCTYTGGTGGTGCTTTGTGCTCCTGGGGAACCTCTGTGCCCTCGAACCTCATTTCAGTCTCCTACATGTGCTGAATGAAGAGCACTGAAGCTGCATTGTGTGTGCTGCTCTGTGCACATCATCCAGGAGTGAAGGGACACAAAGCCAGCTAAACTCCCATTTTCTCCACACTCTGCTGCCTCAGCTTCTGTCCCAGAGRGAAGGGCATTTGCTTGTAGAACAGCTGCTCTGGCTGAAGAGCAGATCATGCTCCTTTCTGCTCCAAGAGCCCTCCAGCTCACTTGTTTGCAGTGACCTCTGAGGCTCTGAATGGCACAAACTGAGAGTTTGACAGAGGGATGTGAAGATTTGACTCTTTTTAGCCTGAACTACCCATCTCCATTAGCAGAGCACATGCCTCAAATGCTCTGATCTTGCTGGCTGCATACAATTCTAATGATGCAGTTTGCCTTTGTAGCTTTCCTGTAAATCTCTTACAAATTAAAATCTCCAGCAGYGAGAAGCTAATAGTCACGTTTTCTTGTACGTTCAATACCTCACCTCTTAAAATAAGATATGGATTTGTTATTACCCTCTGGAAAATGATAGTTGATTACACGAAAGATTGCCTTTTGTGTTGAGAGGTTTTGGATTTTTTCTGTCTCAAATATGCTCTTCAAGGACTGGTTGTGGCATTCATTGTGGGGTAGAGGTGTGTTGATRTTGCTGTTTAAAGAGATACTGAAATTGTCATTAATTTTAGATATGCATTAATGCTTTATATAGCATGTTTATCAAATTACCTTTATATATCTTAACAAATCAATCCCTGTGCCCTTGGTGTGAAGTGCTGCAGATAAGGAGTAGGCAGTATATCTGTTTGCAGGTGATAAAACCGGAATTTGGGTAGATAGATAGCTTCGATTAAGTCGCTTAAGCAGTGTAATCACTGTCCTAGTGAGAAGATGGATCTGTGAGCTGAGCAAATCTGGTTTTGCTGGCTCTGGATTAGCCTGTGCCCTGCACCAGCCTGGCCGAGCGTGTCTGCAGGCGGGGTGAGCCCAGCAGCTGCCTGTGCTACCCCCTCACTCACACTGCAGCTGATTCACGCCGCTGCTTTTATCCTAGTGGGATATCCTGAGCTGGTTTTGCTACCTGGAGACTGTGGAAGCAAAAGGATCTGTGACGAGGCAGATACCCTGCTGAAAGCACTGATAATTTATGCACCTACTGCTAARCCTAATGAATGATAGAGGAAAAAGTTGGGTACTGAGCACTTGATTTTYACTGCTGCTTTTTGTAATCAATTCTGAGTCACCTTTTATCCTCTTCTCATTCTTAGTGATCCTGGGATTATTTAGTTTTTGATTTTATTATTTCCAATTTAAAAATGCTYCTATTGAAATGCATTCTTATGGCATTATTACAATTTCTTTAATTACACATTGGCAGTGTTGCTGTGGCTTAAACATGGTCCATAACAAAGGGTATTTTTAACGGGTTGATGCCTGTGAAATATGTGCTGGTGCTCCATGGAGGGGAATAATTTACCAGTACAAGTCATTACACATTCTATTAAAAACACAAACCGGACATGTGTTCCTGGCCTTGTCATCCATCACAGCGTAAACACTGAGCGAGYCACAATCCCAGCAGAGAGACTGAAAGCAATTTATAAAAAGTAAATAACAGTATTGATCAATTCACCTTTTTATCACTGCCCTGTCACCCCTGCCAAGCAGTGTTTTCATTTTGAGTTTCTCCCCCACCACATGCTTCTACCTTCAGCAGCTGCTGATTTATGTTGCCTTCTCTGGGCCACTGGAGCAGATTTAAACCATCTTTGGTACTGGTAAACCCACCAAAAATACAAATGGATCTGAAAAAAGAGTCTGTTTCCATCTGAAGTGTTTTRCCCTGGCAGATGGAGGCCACAGCCAGGATACCTGCTGAGAGTGAGCATGGGTTTCTGCACACCAGCTCCTGCCTCCACTCTCCCCTTGACTTCCTTTGCTGCCATTTCCATTTCACACCCTGGAAAACAAAATCCAGAGGCAAGGCTGAGTGTCCAAACTGTGGCTTCCTGCAGCWGAGTTACCAAGACAATGTCCTTTGAAGAGAAATAACCACATTRAGAGCAGAAGTTAATGGATAAGGAGGCTTTACTCATCTGTGCAAATGTCTTAATGCCACAGACCACAGCCCTAATAATAATGTAATTTAGGTTGGTGGTGTTTTAATTGCAGGCAAATTGAAAATTGTCTATCCAAAATCTCACCAGGGATCCATGTATCTAATGTCTCTGACCTCAACTGASCCCCGCCTTCAGTGAAATTGCAGCTCTCTCACCTTCAGACAGGCAAATGTTGCACGAGGAGCATTTTCACTCTACGGGAGCGGCCCAGGAAGGTTAAAAATGTGGGTCCCAGAGGTGGTCAGGGCACCCTGATCCCAGCAGACAGGCAGGAAACCCATCTGGACACTCTGCTGGGGTGCCAGGAAGGGCTTTGGGATGCCAAAGGTTAATTAATGGARTCAGCAGCTACAGGTTTTTAGAATGAGCAGCAAGTCACTGTTCTGTGCTGTGAGATTTCATTATCTTAACCTTGTATCTTATGCCTCTTGAGAGAACATGGTTATTCATTAAGTCTCTCTTACTTACCCTTCAGATTTGATGGTTTTATAAAGCCTTTGCATTTTACATTAAGTAATTATGTAATGTGATGATCCCCCATCCCTGGAAGTGCTCAAGGACAGGTTGGATGGGGCTTTATTAAGCAACCTGGTCTAGTGTTGCCAGTGAAGGTGTCCCAGCCCATGGCAGGAAAGTGTCCCTGTTCCATGGGTGGAACTAGATGATCTTTAATGTCCCCGCCAACCCAAGCCATTCTGTGATGGTTCTGTGATGAATATTTTGAGGGCTGCCATTTATTAAAGTGTGAGTTCTCTGTTCACAGGGACAGGTGTGTGCAGTTGTATATGGCTCTTGCATTTAACTCAGATCTCAAGAAAGTCTGTTTTGAGAGCAAAACTGCCAAGAAAAAYGTCTGCAAACAAAAGTCAGAGTGATTTTTCCTTAAAATTTTGTTCTGTACTGGATAAAGCACTTGGTTTGTTACCCTTGCTTCTGGCATGAGAATCTTGTGCTATGTTCAGTGCTGACACCAGTTGTGGAGCTTCAGAAGGACAAGGTCTCATTCTCTGCTCAGAGTCTGATCCCCCCGCATGTCCCAGGGCTTGCAAAGCAGACGCTGAGATAAACATAAATTCTGCAGAGCTCGAGGCGTGTTGTTCTCKATACTCGCTTGGCTTTTTTATTTTTTTTCCTTCCTCTTTGCTCTTTTGAGTGTTCATGGTCTCTGGACACGTAATTTCATTCCAGCTGTGGCCTGGTCAGCTTTGAGATGGCCATCCCAGCATCAGGACAGGTTAGGATCCTCCCTAACCCCTTTCTGTCACACTGCCTCTGCTTTGAAACCAGTAAACAAACCTTGCAGTGAAAAGTATTTTTGCTAACCTGGATTGTTTTGACAGAACCAGGCTAGGGAATGATTAAACATGCAGCAATGCCACCTGACCCAGGGCTCAGGGTGTGCTCACAGGGTCTCCCCTCACTGCTGCTCGGACTTGACACCTCTGTCAGCAGCAAATACAYGTCCTATACTGAAAAGGAGAGCAACAATAACAATTATCAGGGTGATGCATCTTAGTCCCTGTGCTGTGTGTGGCCTTCTCAGTCAGAGTGGGGATTTCTGCATTGATTTTGCCTGCACCCCACCCTTACTGCCACTGCTCAGCTCTGCCCAGTATCTGTTGCTTTATCTGCAGTCTGGTCCATGCTGTGCACAGGTTAAAAGGAGGCACAAGCCCTCCAGGAATCTCCACAACACATCCCCATCCCTTAGATCTGCAGACAGAAGCACAACGTGAGTATCCAGTCCAAAATTGTGTGGTACCTGGCTCCAGTAAGAAAWGGGCAAAGGAATTCCTCAGGGCTCTGTTCCATTCAGCAGTCATATTGCTGTGACTATTATAAAATCAGTCACAGTCTGCTCTTTGCTGTSTGACCTCACTTTGATACTCAGCCCTGCCATGGCTGAGATTTGCTGTCTTCTTGCTCTCTTTAGTACAGAAGGTTTTGTTATTTCTGGGAGAGGATGTCCTTAAAGGTGTTAGGTTAGACATACATTTTTAAATCTCATAAATGAATGTAAACAACAGAAAAATCTGGAGCAGAGAGGTTGATAACATTTTTTATGTCTGACTTTCTGGTGCTCTGTAACTGCTGTTCAGGCAGGTGGATCTCCGTGTGCTTGGTACCACGTGCCTCACAGATATTTTAATCTCTGCCCTGCACCTGATATGTTTGGAGGCTGTGAGTTTCTTCCTTCCCACACAGCTTTTGTGAGAAGCTGAGAAGCTCCGTCAGCGATGCAATTCCCATGGCAAGGCAGGAGGGAAGGGTGCAGGGCGGAAAGGATGCTCTTGGCATATGTTTGGCATGTGGATGACAAAGAGGCCAGGAGGCATTCGAGTCATWAATCTTCTCTCGGGTATCTCAGGAGAGCAGCAGGTCTTGCATGCAAGTTTGAAAGTGTAAATGCTCCCAGAGATGCATGCTCACATCTCGTGGGCTGAAAAAGTTATCAGGGTTGGCCAGGAGATGAGAGCTGGAAACCACCCACCCGTTCCAGCTCCAGCCCTGATTCATCTGCTTCTATGATAAAGTGGCCTGGGGAGTTGAACCAGCTGAAAAACTCTCCTTTATCTACTTTTTCACTGGGTTATTTTCCACTTGGAAAATTTCCCAGCTCCTTTTACTTGGGGAACACAGAAATGCTCGTGTGAAGCACGGGGCTGAGCTGGGTGCTCTCCAGGCAGCAGAGCKCATTCTGACTGCAGCCACGGCCATTGCTCCCTTATCTTGTGTGTGAGGGGTGCAGAGTGGGTGTTTGACAGTGCTGGCATTGGCAGTGCCACCTCTTGCTGCTGGAGACCACATATCATTCAGGAGGAATCCAGAGGTCAAGGCTAACTGACAAACTTTGCAAGGATTTGCTATGTTGTTTTTTTTTTTCTTTCCTTCTGGAATGGCTTCCAAAGTTCAACTGTTTTCATCATTTTRTGAAGGGAATATAAATCCCCTTTCCTTATGGCTGCTTCTCCCCATTAACCATCCACCACCCCTGTTCTGGATAACAAGCTCAACACCAAGCTTTGTACCATGTGTCTCTTTTGCAGCTGCAAGCAGGAAGCTTGGGGATCCTTTGATCATCTCTGACATCAAGAAGGGGAGTGTAGCACACAGGTGAGTGCAGGATTTCCCATCTGTCAAACCCACTGCAAATTGTCCATCCATAGTTAGAAWGTCTACCAGAGAAGCAGAATGGAGCCCAAGCTGTAGCACTTTGGTCTGGATTTTGCTAGAATCCAAGGAGATCTCAGCACTAAAGTTCATCTTAGACCACAGTAGGGTTTGCAATAAAAACTATCTGTATTGAAGCAAGTAGAGTTGAGGTAATGSAGAAGGTGGCCAGGGCACTGGTTTAGATGTCTGCTGACTCTCTAGGAGATGGATGAGTAGCTTTTAAGAGCTTGTGGTAAAGGAATTATTATATCCCAGGAGGTGCTGTGGCTCATGAGGTAGTTTGCCCTGTCTCAGCTCCTGCTCTGGTGAACAGAGGGAGGGAATTGTGGGCACTGGTGGAGAACTGTGCAAATAACTCAGCATTTATTGACTTCACCTCTGATCCCAACACCTCATAGCAAGGCTTTYAGAGGAATTTAGCATGKCTGCATGGCTCATTTTCTAAGCATKCTCACACAGGAGTTTCCACAAGGGGTAGAATATATGTCAGTTAAACATCAGGTGTTTTCAGGGCTGTAGGTTACCCAGGATATTTATCCAGTCTTCCTGGCTGGTTCTGTGTGGATACATGCTCTACACAAACCTCCTCTCTTTGAATTAAAGGTGTCCCAGACTCAACTCATGGATGTTTTCCAGAAAAGATCAAGGACAGTAAAAGTTAATACTATAATTTTCACTGCAGAACTGAATGTGTTGTGGGATCTGAAAGGCAAATACAAATGTAGTTTTAGTTTTTTTTTTTCTCTCCATGTAGAACTGGCACCTTGGAGCCAGGAGACAAGCTGCTAGCCATTGATAACATCCGGCTCGACAATTGCTCAATGGAGGATGCTGTGCAGATTTTAAGGCAGTGCGAAGACCTGGTCAAATTGAAGATTAGGAAGGATGAAGATAACTCTGGTACAGAAATCCTGATGCAAASTGATGCCTGTCCACTGTAATGACATTTCCCAATAGGTAGTGCAAACTAATAAAGATAAGGGCTGCTGCTGTCCGGTCACCACTTTCCAATTGATTATAGTCTATTTTTGTTATTCTGCCCTTAAGTGATGTCTGGAAGGTTAAAATCCTATTTGGTATGAGCGTGGCTGAAGRCTTCTGACTTTTTCTTCTAAATCCTGCAATTTTTTCCTATGACTGCTTTTATCTGGGAAATGAAAAGAATTCAGCATYGCTGTTTTCTCTTTCAGATGAGCAGGAGACAACTGGTGCTATTATCTACACGGTGGAGCTGAAGCGATATGGGGGTCCTTTGGGAATTACCATCTCTGGGACCGAGGAACCTTTTGATCCCATCGTCATCTCGGGCTTGACTAAACGAGGGCTGGCAGAGAGGTGAGGTTTGGGGGCAGAGCCGTTGAATTGATTTGAGAAGKGGTCTTGAGCCATGCCAAGTTTCCTCTGCTGCCACAAACTCTTCTTTGGTGTCTTAGGGTGCTTCACTGAGTGCTGTGAAGCAGGTGGGAGCTGTGCTGCTGGGGCAATGAGAGGGGTACTTCAGGAAAAGTCAGCTCCAGTGAGTCAGGTAAATTCTGCAGCCAGGAACACATATTTCTCTGCCTCTCTTTCACAGGGGTGCTTCCTGGTCGGGGATTTGCAATGAACACCTTGTGTCAGGGAGAATGCCCAGCCTGCCTACAAAACCACCATAGACTCTGCCTAGGACTCCCCTGCTGGCTAAACTGGCTTATGGCCATTGCAGTGGCATGTTCTGCTGAAACCAGAGACCTCAGGTGTCTTTCCACCTGTCCTTGCTGGTTCTTCAGTGTGTTACATGAGAGGTGCAGTGCAGGGCTGGCATGCCCAAACATCAGGCATTGATACTGAATAAATGTAGGAGCAGATTCACCTTTAACCACCAGGGAGGTTACAGTGTGCCTGGGTCTGAATATGTGCAGATGTGTGGGATTTAAAGGATCAGGACATTCCTGAGAGTATAAGGTGGAACTGAGTCATACACCCTATMTTAATTAATCTTTCTATACGGGAGTTGTGACTTGTAAATAGATCACTTCAGTAGCCCTGACTCATGCTTCTCTAAGGGTCTCTTTGTGCTGCCTGACAGGCAGAATAGCAACTAAAAAAACCCTGAACAAACCAGTGTAAAGTGCAAGACCGTGGGGATGTTTGACAGCAGATCTGGCCTTCTGGTTCTTTCTGTTTCAAGGCCACGCTCCCTCTTAGCTGGACTGTGAAACAGCTCCGTGTCCTTKTCTGCATCAGGTTCTCAGAGCTCTCAGCACACTGCTGTGCATTTCCATTGCTTCCCTTTGGTGCAGAATGCAGAATGTCTGTGTCTCCTGGGARGGAAGTGGGATGGACTTAATCATTAGTGATTCTTCTCTTTGGGGATTTTATATCACTGTCTGCCATGGTTGGATTTGGTCTTTTTCCCTATAAAGTAACAGCCAGAGAGTATCCAAGGCTTTTCTGCATAGCWCTTCTGTACTGTACAGCCCAGCATCAGAGAGGTTAAGGACAGCCAGCTCAAATGCTGTCAGGTGTCAGAAGACAGTCTTGTACCTTTGTTGATCTCAGTTCCCTTTGCAATTCCGTGGCTGTTCCRCCTTCGAAGTCGGCTGCACATCAGTGACTGCTCTGTGGAGAAAAATCGAGTGCTGCAGTACTACTGAATTCTGATCAGCAGCGAGCTGGCAGTGAGCAGTGAAAAGCCTTGTGAGGAGAGTGATGGAGTTCAGCATATTCACTGTGGCTGAGCAGCAGATAACAGCGTGGGGATGGGGCAGCACAGGGATGTCTTTGGGTAACCTTGGCACTCTGAGGAGTGCTGGGATGAAGGCTGCCCGCAGCAAAGGTGCATCTTTTTCTCCTGCGAGTGAGAGAAGGGGGGAACTTGACCTTGTCAAGGGAAGAGGGTGCTCCTRGTGTTATCCTAAATTGTTCCTTTCCTGACGTCACTACCTTTATCTGTGCCACAGATGCCCTTGGCCAGGCTCTGACTGAAGGACAGGGATTTAAATCCAAACCCGTGCTGGCTCTTGCTGGAGCACAGGACATGCTTGCAGCACTGGTGTGTGGTAGACCTGGCCCTGGTGTCTGATAACAGCAATCCCCAGGCCATTCTTGCAGAGGCACAAGTGAAAGTCTTGGGTTGCTGGCAGTGGCTTATGCCTGTGCCATAGGACTTGTTTCCCTTCTTCTTGAGAAAGGGAGTGTGCCTTTTGAGTGTGCCTCAATATTGATCAATATGCCTCAATTGAACAATATTGATCAATTCTGCTTGAGGTATAATGGTTCTCCAAGAGCAATTTTTGCCTATTGCTGACATTTTAAAGTGTCTGACCACCCTCCTTTAGAACCACCTGCTCAAAAAGATGGGGGTGGCTGCAAGAGAGTTTGATTGAGGAGTGTCCAGCACCAAGTCATGTTGGCAGGGAGGAAAAGAGGTGGTGACATGGCCAATGTGCCAAGTAAGTCCCTACCACATGCATGCAGCTGCCTCTTCTCCAGTGCTTGCTGAGAAATGCTTGTAATCTGATTTACACCTTTCCACTTTCTCAGTTCTGTTCTTGCATGCCCCTCTGAGCAAGAGGAGACATGTAGCACACAGTTCCTTAGGCTGCTTTGTGTTTGAGGTGAATTAAGGATTGTTGGCAATAAAGGAGTGGCACAAGGGTCATTAACAGAAACTGCTTTCTCTGTCAGTCCTGCTCAGCTTCTCTCTGCTTGTCCTCACAGGGGGGGCTGAGAGGACTGGGCTTTGATTTGCCTTCTCCCCCTTGAAGAAAAACACCTGGCTGAATGTGACCTTTCTTTTTCATCGTTTCTGTATTTTTCCCTACTGAGAGGCTTTCATAGTTGCTGCAGTTGTTCAGAGCTGGGTGGCTGGGCTGGTGTCTTGCATAGATGTGTCCCCATGCTGGGTTCAGGGATACAGCAGGAAGCCCTCGAATGCTGAAACACTGCAGTGAGCGAAGGATCGACTGTAAACTGCCGGCAGCTTAGCTTGATTCTTCTGACTACAATAGATGAAACTTTTAAGACAAATACTCTAGTCCCAGTTTGATCTGTAATTTGTTTGAATGCACAAATGTTTCCCTGGCAGCTTYTCCAGGCTGATTTGTGTGGGACAAGACGGACATCTAGTGGCTGATGGGACCATGGTGGCACTGCTGGGTACCTCAGCAGCAGCCAAAGCCTGGCCTGAGCAGTGCTGCCTGCTGCTTGGCTGCATTTCCTGATCCGGTGTGCTTATCCTGGATGGTTCACAGCAGTGTGTCCACAGAATTTTGGTAATTCGAGGACAGCCAAGCAGCTGTTTTTTGCCTGTGATGATATATCAGATCCCAGTTCTGCAGGAGACACAGTCCAGTTTGGAGATGCACCCTGAGGGAGACAAATTGCCATGGACAAACAGATACTGCAGTTCAGATTTGCATCTCCTCCCAGCTCCATCACAGAGGTTGCTGATAGCAGAGCCTCCTGCAGTRCTGGAGGAGGAGGTGGTTGCTGCTCTCTGGGCTGGCATTTGGGAGCTGGGGTGTGAGTTTGGGCAGCTCAGTCCAGCCAGGGGCGAGCGTGAGCTCCAGCCTTGGCATCGGCTCTGGTGATGGACACATCCTGCCCTGCCTGCTCATCCCTAGAGCTTCACTAGGGAGAGATAAAGTGAGCCTTTGTGAGCAGACACAGAGGGGGAAGRTGGAGGACAAAGGGGAGAATTGCCTGACTTGTTAATTTGCTCCTGCCTGTTGCTGGAGCCTGAGGATTTATCTAGGGGAGAGRAACAGCCAGTGCTGGAACATGGCTGATCAATAAAACACCACAACTTCCTCCAGAGCTGATGGAGAAACTCTCAGGGTGTAGCTGTGTAGGGTGAGCTTTAAGCACATCATTGACTGCAGCTGTTTCAGCTCGTGCTTGAACACACATGAGCAATTTTGTTGAGCTATTTTGGTTTGGGTTTTTTCCAATAGGTTTCTAGGTTTGTCTCATAATTACTTTCCATCAGGGTGAACATGTCCTTCAGTTTTGTGTTGACAACTATGTTGGACTCCACATACTGAAAATGTTTRTGCTTTTAACCCTGTTGCTTTGAAGTGTTTTGTCTGTAAGGTGGTCTGCAGTCCCAGTTCCCSAGGGGTCTGGGATTTGAGGAGTTCATGTGTTCCCATGAATATTTGTACGTCTGTGCACATGGAAGGTGGGGAGGACCCAGATTCCTTGTTTGTGGTGAAGAGGAAGTCGTGGGTATAGAATGTACCAAGAGGGAACAAAGACACGTTTGAAAAGCTGAGAATTAATTGCTTCAAGCGGCAGCCGAGTGTCCTGTCTCCAGAGGAATTGCCTCTCTGGAGTTTCTGACGGTGCCTTTTCCCTGCAGAACTGGAGCCATCCACATCGGGGACCGGATCCTGGCGATCAACAACGTGAGYCTCAAGGGCAAACCACTGAGCGAGGCCATTCACCTGCTGCAGATGGCAGGGGAGACCGTCACCCTCAAGATCAAGAAACAGACTGAGAGTGAGTTGGGGACCTGGGGCGGGCGGGGAAGGCTCACCCCAGCAGAGACCCCGGGACACGGGGCAGGCAGTGCTGGGGCTTCTGTCACCCTGTGGATGAGGCAGTGTGGGCATGGCCATGGCTGGGCACAGGGGGAAAACATGTGTGTTTCTTGAACTTCTGGCTCACAGATTGAAAAAAAGACTCTCTGTGTTGCTGGGAAGAGATGAAACAGCAGGTTTATTTGCAACAGTAATTTTTAATTCAGACTGACAGCTTATACTGTTGTTGCCATTCCCTGTCTGTGTTGGTGTTTCACACAGAAGTGAAGCAGAAGTTGCTTTTAAAAGTAAAGGAATGTGGGGGGTTTTGAAAATATAAYCCCCCTAAATGAGCAAGGAGACTGAGTTGGTAGAATCCATGAGGAAAAAAAACCCATCTTTAGTTCCAATTTTTGAAAACAATTTCCAGGTGGGGTCCTAAGATAATCTTTCAAATCATCTAACTTAATTCTAGTGATCCCCTTCTGGTTTCCCTGCCAAGCTCCCTGTGGCTTTGAAGCTGTTGTTGACCTGGTACAAAAAAGCAGAAACATGCTTAGTACTGGCTGGCCACTGTTTTTTGGGGACAGAAGTGTGATTGGAAAAAAAGACATCATTCAAACTTTTCTCCCTGACTGCATAATTACAGCCAAACAGGCTTTTTCATTAAATTCAGAAAGGAACAGGTGCATTCTAGCTTCATTCCAGTCTCTCACCCCCAGTATTTTCCTTTTTTTTTTTTTTTGGGGTGATCCTTCTGCTGTCTCTAGATTTGGCTGGACCTACCCAGGAGGTGGCCACAGTGCTGTGGGAATTAGGAGAAATCAAGAGATAAAAGCATTTCCAAGGAAGTGTGGCCCTTGGGATGCCTGTTCTGCATCTGAAGTGCATCCCTCTTAAACAGAGAACTTCTGCTGACTCAGAGTGGTTTGCAAAACTCTGGCAATGCACCTGTTTTACAAATGGATGAAGGCTGGGCAGGGAGTGGGGATGTGGCAAATAGAGATAGAACTGGGGAACTGATTCCTCTTCAAGAAGCCCCAGTCTCTGTAGCCAGCCCCTGTAGCCAAATGTCTTGGTCTTTGGTCTGAAATGCTCTTTTTTTGCCCCTGTGCTGACACTTAGCATTGTCACAGCCACTTGGTGAAATAATTGACATGCAAGTGCCTGTTGGAGACTCGTTAATCATTCTGAGAATGAAGCAGGTGTAATTGAAATTTCAAGGTAATCTTGAGTTAATCATGGTGAGCAATCTTCTGAAGGCTTGGAAAATAGGGACTTTCAGGACACCAGGCTTTGTTTGGTAAAATGATCTGTCCTCATTGACAAATGCAGACTTTCAGAGGGCTTTTTATCCCTCAGGTCAGAGATCCAGGGTATGGATGGCTAACAGGATATCTAATCAACAAGGACTTTAAAATATTCAGTACAAAGAAATGCTTGTGCTGAGAAACCATTCTTTGCATAGCTGTTGCCTGAAAGGGAATTTGATATAATGATAATAAGGGCCTGTTAGTTCCAAAATAATGAAAGGGAAGGTCTGAGCTTCCTCATTCACATTCAGSTCTTGTTTTCTAATCACTAATCAGGGGAAATTCAGCCTCAAAATACTACACCCAGGAATTCCACTGTTGTCACAGAACTGCATGGGAGATTCTGGAGAGGTGGTGATCAGCTGAGGTTGTACAATTTTGGGAGAGGGCTATAACTTCAGCAGAGGTGTTTGCCATTGGAGTCTCATTAAAACATCCATTTGYAGCCAAGTTTGCAGCCAGCACCTGCCCTGGTGCTGCCCTGAGTAGAAGGGAGACCCTCTGAGACCAGAGGAGCTACAGGGTATTGCTTGGAGGGGCCAGCATTTCTCTGGGCAGGGCTGTTTGGAGGAAGCTTCCAAAGGCACAGGAAGATGTGCCTGTGAATTGAGATTAGGTCCCAGCTCTCTCATATGTGGTAATCCTCAAATCCCCATGGCTGCTYCTTATATTCCATGTGCTAAAAACTCAGAAAGGCATTTTTTCTTGATTCAGCTTGAGATAAGAGTAATGCATAAAATCCTTTCAGCTTCGTTGCCCATGCCTTTCTCAGCTACTTTTGAAGAGCTAAAGAGGTACTCTAAAGCCTTACAGTACCTGGGCTTGCTCCCATGTCGGCATAAGCTTTTCCCTGAGGCTTGCTAAAGCAGGATGATGTGGTTGCAGAATCCTACCCCAAGAAGTCGGGGAGCATAAACGAAGTGAGTGACCCAGAAGATGAGCTGACGGACTCCCAGAAAACCAGCAAGCTGTCAGAGATCTACTCCACCACAATTCCAAGCGTGGACAATACTATGGAGTCCTGGGATGGCTCTGCCATTGATGCTGGGTATGGAAGCCAAGGTAAGCCAGGGTTGTGTTKTCYTRGGGGWCTCTGGTCTGTCTGGGTTTTGCCTCCAAGCAKGAGCCAAAGCCTGTGGCCTGACCAYATTTGCAGGRCCTCTSGCTTCCAGCAAGGAACAAAATGTATTTTACAGTGCATTCATGTGGTGCTTTGAGTTGGTGTMTCTGTTTTAGGCTTTTATTGGCACATTTGTTCTGGCTTATATGGCATCATACTGTTCTCATCATTTTCAAAACCATTATGGCACTTTATAATTCGCATAATCAGAGGCAGTATTCACTGGCCATATGTTTTACAGGGTATTGGTCCATAGCTCACTTTTATTTCTCCAGAGAGGCCTTGTAGGACATAATAAYCCTCTTCAGGATGCTTTAAAATCCACAAGAATGTCTTGTGACTAGAAGCACTCACTTAACAAAATAATTAAGGTAATACTACAAGAAAGTATCTCTAACTCTCTAGTGAGTGATCAGATGAACACATGTCTTTGAGGTCAGGTTTATTCAGCTGTAGCTTCTAGCAGATGTGGAACTGGAATGGATGATACTCCAGTCATGGGAATATATAGTTACTTGGAGAAAAGCACTGGAAAATAGTTACACCAGTTCAGACTTAGAGACATGAGCTAGTATTAGCCTGTGTTAAAACAAACCAAAATCCTGAATCAAYGCTGCAACAGGAAATTGGTGGAGTCTTGTCCAGAACAGAACAGAACAGAATGTGAAAACGGGGAGGGATGCTGCTGCAAAGTGTGAGTGTGCTGAGCTCGCTGCACTCTGGCCAAGTTCAAAGGGCAGCACTGCCCAGGTGTCTCTTTCCCCATCCCTGCTCTTCCTGCAGCCTCTGTTGGTCTGAAGTCTTAATTTGGGAGCACAGTTGGGACTGSAGGCTTCATTAAGGAGGAATCCCCTGGCCTTCATAATGCTGCAATCCTTCTCCATCTAATTGAATGTTAACACAAGTTGGACACTGGGAAGTGATTGCTTTGCTGGTAAATTGAGAACCAGTAATTGAGCACAGAGCCCCGGGGAGCAGGGCTGGTGCCAAGTTGCCCGAGATCCCCACACTGCAACTTTGCTTCAGGGGCTCTCATGTCTTCCCTGGTACTTGCATGGCAGTGCAGTGGTGCTGGCTGGCACGGGGGATGATGCAGGGTCGGGTGAAGGGCATGGAGAGCTGCCCATGGCATGGGCAGGGAAGGCAAGGTGCAGGCAAACCTGGGATTGAAAGAGCCTGGAGATTGGGGATTAACCCCAAGTGGAGAGCTATAGATCAGGCTCTGCAGCCTTGTAGGCTTTTAGGTTCATGCACAGCAGTCGGAAACAGCTCAAGGAAGGATTTTGGYAGGGAAGCTGTGCTGGGCCTGGTGGGAACATGCCACCAGGTGGCTCTGAATCCCAGGGATCCAGCCCTTGTCTCTGGCAGGAGGAGATGAATGTATAACGGTGCCAAATGTGGACACACTCCCCTGTGCCCATTCAGATGTGCTGCCCACCCGCTGCAGGGATCTGCATCCAGGGCCTTGTCCTGCTCTGGCAGGCACTGAGTGCTTCCCGCTGCTCTAAGATGTTGGCAAGCAATTTTCCTGGGGCTCTCTCCAGAGAAGTCTAACCTTTAAAAACACACAGAGGAAACACTCAACTAAGTGAAATAACAGGACTTGGCATTTGCAGAGAAAGTGTTGGCATTGTCTTTGGGTATTTCCAGTGCTCTTAGCTGTTTAGGAGGTCGAGTCTCCCTTAATTACGTGTTTCTCCGTTACTTCTTCCTGTTCGCTTGGCACAGTGTGTAACGGGAGCGTGCGCTGCTTCTTGGAAAGGCTCTGAGGGTTTCTCTGAAACACTGAATGGGCAGTAGTATGTGTGCAGGGGACTCAGGAGATCTATTTCTGCTTCAGATGGCACTGACACCRCTGAGGAATGGTCTGTTTTGGAAGTTTTCTGTTCGGGCAGCTCCTCATGAGACTTGAGGACTTGTGACTTGGTAATGATGGATTTTCATCTCTGGTGTAAGACACTGCAGTATGGAAAAGTCCATGGGGGCAGATAGAGTGAAACTTGTCTGATTTCATACTAACAGTCTGTATTGATCTCCTGTCAAGTGTGATACAGATGAGCCTCATCTGCTCTCAAGCCAGCAGAGTTTTTCATCCTATCCCTTGCCTTTCATGAGAAGCTTCCTGTATCTGCACCAGCTCATCCCAAAGGCATGGGAATTCTGAGGGAACTGGCTGGCATTTCTTAGGATCAGAGCTGATTCTTCCTCATTACCACTGCTGAAGGAAGCTTGTCAGGATCTTCCCTTTGCCCCTTGAAGGACTTGTATTTAAAGGTGGCTGATTGATCAGCATCATTTCTGCTGGTTCAGTATGGAAATGGGAGCTGTTAACCCCAACTAGGACTGATGTGGGACAGGATCTGCATCTTGGGGTATGTGTACTGCTAGGTCTGTGGGGCTCAGACCCACACCATAAATCTGTGGAGAAGCAGGGGAGAGGAGAAATGGGGCATCCCATGTCAACATCCTGAGGAGTTTCTTTGGGGAAAGCCAGAAGAGATTCGAAAAATTGCTTTTGGGTTACTGGGATGGAAAGTGTGCAATCCATATGGCCTCACAGTTGAAACCTAGGGGAGGAGGCCCTCCTGGCTCTTTGTGTCTTACTCCATTTGGGATTTCTCACCAGGTATTGCCCTTTCTCTCCCTCTGTTCCCTCTTGCCTCCCCTAGGTACGTACATACCCCAGGCTGCCGGCATAGCCCTCCATCCACAYGAGTGGAGACACAGCAGGCAAAAGAGCAGCACCCCTCCAGCAGACCCCAGGAAAAACTATCCCTACATGGATGGAAGCTTCAGTGAAGATGACTGGGACAAGCCCAGCAGGTACGGAGAGGTGGGAGGAGGCAGGGAGTGTTTGAAAGTATTGGTGTCACTGAAGGGGACAAGGGGGCATGGAATGTGATGGAGGGGCCAGTGGTGTCCCTGCCTTGGCATCGGGTAGCCATGGGGAGGGATGCTCTGTTGGGCCAGTTTTCCCTGAGTTTAGCTCTGTGACACCTCTGCCATGGCCAGGTGACATTTGTGTCTGGAGTTAGGGTGCTCTTGGCTGCATGGAGTGCACGTTCCTATCCTGTTCCTTACCCCTGCCATGTCAAGGCTGCGGTATTTTCACAGTTCAGGTGTAATGAGTAGATCTGGGCAGGGCTGTCCCTGTTGGTGTTGGCCAGACATTTCTGAGTAAGGATGCAGCTTCACAACAGCTCAGCTTTTGCCACAAAGCAAAAGATACCAACCAAACTATTGGAGGAGCAGAGTGAGGTTGCATGTCCAAGTTAAAATCCTCCAAAACTGTGTCTGGATTCTCTCTCCATCACACTTTGGCTCTTCCAACACCTCAAACAAAGCTACACTGAATGAACATGGTCAAGTTAATCCCTCAGCTCAGCCAGCGTGGGGAAAATGCTGTAACACTGCTTGAGGCCAAGGAGGAGGCCACAGCTGCCAACCCCTTGATTTGGGTGAAAATCCTGCTGGATCTGCCTTGGCCAGAGGCTGTCCCTCACTGAGCYACACATAATGGAAAAGCCCCATTGCTTCAAAACTTCCCCTCCCGTCGACATCCTCCAGAGTCCCCATAGTTGTGTGTGTCGTGTTGTTACTGTCGGTTCTTTTTTCCTTATTTTTTTCCTTGACTTTTGTTTGTCCAAACAAGACCCTTAGAACATCTCATGGCCATTTCCACCTATTTAAAGATGATCAAGCTGGCAGGAAGGCTGGCAGCGCYGGAGACTTTGTTCTTGTTTTGCCTCTCAGCGAGAGCCAGCTCGCAGAGGTCACTGATCCCTCGTGGCCCTCCCGGCGAGGCCGCCGGCAGCTGAAGTTGGCAAATCTGAGCCCTCGAAACCCCCGTGTCCCTAATGAGGACTGAGCCCTGATGTCAAAGTGCAAGTGAAATGGTTCATGCTGCTGAGCCCTCTATTAGAAAAACAAACCCTGACTGCCTTTAGCCTGGAAAAAGCTGCTGACCCAGTGATGTGGGAGCCCTTTCTGATTCATCTGTGTCCTGGATGTGTTTGTGTATTGCTGCTCTGAGAGGCAAGACACTGGTAACTAGAAGGGACATTTGCCTCTTTGGGAGCCTGGAAGCAAAGGAAGGAAATGAGTAAGGGGAAAGAATCAAAAATTCCTTYTTGGGGGAAATTTTGGTTTGTTTTTATAAAGACTTGCTGGGTGTTTATTTGACCTTTTGCCTGGTGTAAAGGCTACCGTCCTTTAAAAACTGATGAAAGGACAGGGTGAATTTAAAATACAATAAGCCATGTCAGATACTGCTCTCTTCAGGAAGTCCATGATCCCACAAGGAGAAAAAGTGTGTGTGAGAGAGTTTCTGCCTGCTACAGACTCCCATTTAAACCAGTGGATGAAAAGCAAAGTGTGTGCTAAGGACTGCACTTCTTAGACATCTGGAAAAAGCTATATTAATAGCCCAGGGGTCATTATATATTTAATGAAGGCCAAGCTCTCTGTGACATGTACTCAATTAAAATGTTTTGACTTTGCTGAATGGCTCTGGTGGATGAGTGTTCCTTCCTGTGTATGGAGCTGAAGACCATTAAGCYATGCAGATACTACCAGATGCTGCAGAGCTGGAGTATCTTCCATGCAGCTCCTCATAAGATATATATAAGATATATAAGATACATATAAAATGCATTAGGGCTGCTCCAATGTCACTATCCCCTTGGTGCCTCTTCCCATGACACATGAGTGGGTTTATCATGATCTTGATTAAACACTACAGATAATGCTCTTCAAGAGGCTCCTGTTAWACTGAGCACTGGTGGTCTGAGTTTTGCAGTCTGGTGTTCAGTAAGCAGTATCCAGCATCATGTGCTTTTCTAGCTTGTTCAGAGGATTTCGCCATATTTAATTCCTGTTTGATTTAGAGGTATGAGAATTGACCCTGGCTTGTGGTCAGAGATAACAACTGCTGGAACTGCCAAGGTGGGGAATTGCAGAACCCCCAGCACAGGGTGTTCACATTAGCGTGTGTTTGTACCAGCTCCAGAGAGGTTCTCTCTAACCTTACTCTCTATTGTAGACAGAACTGGTGGCAAACTTTACACAGCTGTAAGTGCCAAGACTGCTATACAGCAAAAAAAAGACAGACCTCCTGAAAGTAACAGCTCAGTTCCCTGGTCATCCCAAAGCAAATGAAACTCGGTTTGTATGGGTTGTACAYGACACTGTTGATGCTGCTGGCTGTAGTGTGCGTTTGCTTGTCCAGCCCAGGGCAATCATTTTTATATACATCTTTGCATTATTTACTCTCATAGAGACCTAATGTWTTTATCATTTTCTCACCATGTCTGTTACCCTCTGTGTTTTTCTCTCTCTTCTCAGGTGTTCTGTGTCTCAGATCTGAGCTCTATCCCATCAGCCTTTGTACTAACAGTCTCTGAGGCTCCTGGTTTACCCATAATGCATCCTTTTTTCTTTCACTTCTCTATTTCACCAAAACGTCTTCCTAAACCTACAATCTTCCTACAGGCACTTTTTAATTTACCCTTTGAACTTTGACATTACTACACCAACTTAATTCTTCCTTTGAAGGACACTTGCCCCGTTAGTAAATGCATGGAGGTCTCGTATGTGGACTCTTGTTTGAAAAGTTCATATTGTTTGCTTTTGTATATGAAGACTCTTCAAGTCTGCTTTTACTGGTGAGACACTTGCTGTAGCCTTGCAGCTTTCACCCCGCTGCAGAAGAGTGCTGACAATGTTTGGTTCCTACGTTACAACAGATACCCCAACCGCCAAAATGGCCTTGAGACCACTCATGAGGACAATTTTTGGCGTGTTTTTGGAGAAGCTTTGGAGGATTTGGAAACWTGCGGCCAGTCTGAACTTTTGAGGGAGATTGAGGTAAATAATTTTCTGAATTTGCTGCTGACCTGACTATTTTGCTCTTTCCATAAATGTTAGACCATTTCCCCATCTGTTACTTGCCTGTAGCAACCTTGAGCTGCAGGTGGTGTGAAGAAAGGTTTGGGTTTAATTCACATCAGGCTTTGTGCTCATGGATAACTCTGCCTCGTTAGACAGCTGCTTGCGTGTGCTCTTTCCCTGAGCCCACGTCTTGCCTGCCAGGAACTCCACGCCCTTCTCACGAACYGGTGCTGGCCAATAATCTTCACATGACTGTTGGCAAGCCTTTCCTATCCAATGGTAAACCCTCTGCTTGGAAAGATCTTGTCTGTCCAAAGCACTTGAAGGCCAAGCAAAAGGAGCCCCGCAGAGCCCCGCTGGGACTGGAGCCTTGGCTGGCTTCAAGTGCAGGCAGACACACRTACCTTGCATTCAGCTGTCACTCTGCCGGAAACCGTGTTAGTCAAATAGGTAATCGGAAGCTTTTCAGCCAGCCTTCCCCATGGAAAAGTCTGAGAAAGTAATTGCTTCCTGCAGAAATAAAGGTGTTTCCTCTCTTCACAAACCACTTTCTCTTTTCTTTATCCAGAACGCTTTGGAGGTCRTGTTATTGTGTCCGGTTATAGGATGAGGAGCCTGGGTTTCTAAGTCATGGGAGGCAAATAAAGACCCCCCCTTGAGACTGTGAGCAGCAGGAAGCAAACCTGCCTGGCAGGATGGGGCCCGTGCTGCTCCCCTCCCTAGATCAGCTCCCACGGCCTGAAGGAAGGAGCAGGACCCCGTGAGACCATCCCCCCTGTGCCTTCCAGGTGCAGAGGAACGGGGAGAGCTCACTGGGCTGTGCCTTCCATCACTCCCAGTGGGACTGGTTTTATGTACAGTTGCATATTGCTGAGCCTTCAGAGAAATAAAGGCAACTTCTGACTAATTGAAGGTCGAAAAGGAAAGTCCTGTTTTGGTTTGTATGGCGACAAGGGAGTTGCTAATTGTCCTTTCCTCCTTGATCCTTAGCAACTGTAAGTGGAGGAGGAAGTCTCAATTAAATTTATTGTGCTGAAGCATGAAATGTTGCTTTTATTATCTTAACTGCTTAAGAAAATGCTGACTTATAAAAACCCCAAGACACACTCAGAATCCCAAATCCCCAGCCCTCCTAAGCTATAACTTTTTCCCTTGATTACTTATTTCCTGGATCTGAATGTATTTAGAAACAAGTTTAGGCAGTTGCTCTCAACCTTTCTGAACAGTTGACTGCTTAAGAAAAAGTATCTCTGTGAAATGATGCATAAATATTTCTCTTCTGATGGCATCCAAATGCAGAAGAAGGGATTTSTTGGACTCTCTTTCCTCTTCCAGGGATCTGTGGTGCAATTGCTTTTTATGCTGTTTGGAGCTTTGACAGTTACAGAAATGTTTTTAAACATGTAAAGGAATCTTACTGAAAGCTGAGCACCTCCAGGGTTTCTGTGTATTAAGCATGTTTCTTGAATCTTTTGAAATTTTTGGGGACAGAAGGGAAGTGCTCTGTTTTTAGCAGGAATTTCTAGGGTTCAACTCCCCTTTTAGCAAATCCAAAATAATACTGATCCATTCCCCTCTCTCCATGTGCTCAGCCTTTGTGAGGTGTGCYGTGGGATGTGCAGAGCTCATTGGGGCCTTTGTTACATTGCAGTTTGCTCAGCCCCAGCTCTCAGCCTCCTGTGATTTTACAGCAGTCAGAGATCTGATTTGTTTGTATTTTCAAAAAAAATTTGACCCTTGATGTTTTGCTTTTGAAAAAGAAGAAGAGTCATGCAAGGTGACYCATGATAGCCTGGAAACAGGTTCACATGCAGTAGGAATCCACATCCAGACTATGAGGATGGGAAGAAAGAAGCTTTTTCCACTGAAAAGTGTATGTCTCTGCTTTGAGAGCAGCAGTAATGTGGGGTAGCCACAGGCTGGAGAAGTCTGGAATKGCCCATTTTGCTGCTTGCACTAAACCTGAAACTTACGGAAAAGCTTCAGGAAATTGCTTAYGATGCTGCAAGGAGAATTTAAACACCTTGAAGATGAAGAAGGAGTCAAATGCTGTTGGGTACTGGTTGCTTGTGGTGTTTGCAGCCCACGAGGGAGGGCAGTGGCATGGTGTGCACAGAGCTTTCTGTTCTTCCTGGCTCTGCTGGGACAGATCAGCAGAATGTCCTGGGGGCTGGGGTTGCCTGAAGGTGGTGGCCAAATGTCCCCTGCTTGGCTGTGCTGTTGTTTGTCACTCTGCCTTTCAAGTGTGTGGTACATCAGTGCCTTTGCAGCACGTAGCAGGTATTTGAGTTTTGCCCAAACTGGAGCTGATTGAGTCGTGTGTGAAGACCTGAAAAGTGCAAAGCTGAAAGGTTTTCTGTATTTTATCCAAKGCTTTTTGGGTTAACATAGGTAGTGCTGGCATTTTCCTACTGCCACCATAATTCACTTTATTTGCCTTTGTTCCATCTTGAGGCAAAGAGTTGGAGGGCCTTGATTAGAGATTTATTTGGATGATATTTCCCCTGTGCACAGGATCAATTGCTCTTTGACTTGCCACATTTAGTGTTGAAGAATTTTGCTGTCTGCTCCCTACCTTTCCTTTCATTTCTTCTATCTTTTGACATTTATTGGGGCTGCAGACCCGTTGAGCCTGAACTTTGAAATTACAGGTTTCATTATGCTGTTTAAATGGACTGTGTGACCTGGAGCCAGCTGAGGTTCCACAGACTGGATTCTTGATTCCTTCGTTAACTTTGATCAATGTAATCTCATTAGTGAAAAGCATTGCCAAATGGAGTCGAATCTACTTAGGGGCATCTTTTAATGGATGCTATCAAGGATGACCAGGCTTAAATACTACTTAATTTCATATTTTTAACTCAGTTTTGCTCAGTGACAGCTCCTATTTACTGACAGATAAAATCCTAATTTTTCTGCTGAATTGGCCTCAGTGGAGTCCGAGGCATTGCCTCCTCTGGGCCACTGCCAGCCCTGTGTGATGCTGCAGAGGCAGGCTGGAGAATCAGGCAGACACAGCTCCTCTGGGAGCTCCCTGAGATCAGGATATTCATCCTTCTTGACTGTCAGGATGGTTCCTACACAAGATGGGRCCTGCTGGCCYWGTTTGTGTAGRASGGGTCATGGAAAAACACGGCGGTGYTTCAGAAAYGCTTTCTCCTTGTTGGGCTGGGGGTGGAGAGCACAAAGGGGCTCAGCCATGGACCTGGAAGCAGGCTCCTGAGGGCTGGGAATGGCTCTTGCAGCCAACAGGAAGGGCTTCCTGGTGCTGATTCCCAGCCTGATGGGAGCAGTGGTGCCGCCGTGCTGTCTGTGACGCTTTGGTGGCCGCGTGTCCGTCTGTCCCCGCTGCTGACTCAGCAGAGTGACGCTGTGCCCTCGCCCCGCAGGCGTCCATCATGACAGGGAGCGTGCACAACCTGGGCCTGGAGGGCAGCAAACTGCTCCTGGACTCTGTCAACCCCTCGGGAATGAGCCCRCTGAGGAAAGCCAACCCCGGCTGCRCCGACGGACAGACTGAGGGCAGCGGCTCCYCTGCCAAGAAGAACGAGAGGAACCTGGATGTGAAGAAGATGGAGAAGGAGATGCAGGAAATCATGTCCCCGACCCCCCTTGAGTTTCACAAGGTTTGTGTTGCCCATGGTTGATGTAACTGTGGCACTGCAATACCTCAATGGTTAAAGTTGTGGAAGATTTGCAACCTTGAAAAAAATGTGCTTTGCTGAGGGAGCCTCAGAAAATGGTTCTTGTTAAAGCTGGTCCTCACCAAGGYCTGCAGCAAAGGTTTCCAGAAGGTCAGGTTAAGATGAAGGAGCCCCTTCAGAAGGGTAACAGGATTGAACTGCCATGATTCAGCAGGGTTCAAACCTTTGCTATTTCTCTTTATATGTAAGATTTCCAAGTCCTTGTGTTTTTGAGTTTGTTAATTGGTGCTACAGATAAAAGTGAGAGAGCTCAAAGATGGACCCCTGGGGGCCCATCAGCTCTTTTTCTGTGGCACACTCCATTCAGTAGGCCACTTCTTAAATAAAAAACTATTTATTTTTCCCTCCCCTTCCACTCCACCTCAGTGGTGGGATACTGGTTTGAATTCAGCATCCAGCTGAACAYAGCCAGTTTAATCATGGTGCAAGGTAATGGTAATTAGAAAAAGTAATTAACTGTAGAAGCTGCTGATGTCAAATGCAAGCAGGGAAGGGAGCTGGAGAGGTTTCAAAAATTTGATTGCCTTTTTCTTTCCTAGTGTGACTTCAGAATGAAACCTGCAGTTGTGGTAGCTGATAAAAACAACCTTTTCATGTTTAATCTGCTTTTGCCCTTCAGGGCATGGCAAATGTGTCTTTAAATAAAACTCCTTCATAMCTGAAGGAGGAGAGCTGTGCAATTAGGCATGTCATAGGGTGGCYCTTCATTCTGCTGGAGCATCTGGTGTTGGCTGTGTTTGGAAGTGAGGTTGAGGCTAGGTGGGATGCTCCTGTGYKTCATCCTGAGCATKGTCCTTCCCCAGGAGCGCAGATCCRTGAGGCTCACCCAGCCTYGAGCACAGTCATGAATGGGGAGCCTTGGTAGAGGTTCACTCCCAGTTCAAGGTGGGCAGATGGAGATTTTGGTAGTGTTGGGCCGTCASTTTTCCCTGGTTCCCTGTGTTACCCCAAGGCAGACAGACTTCCAGTGCTCTCCCTCTGTGGGCAAGGCCAGAGCGTGGCGTGCCTGAGGGAAGGATGATGAGATTGCCCATTTCTTGTCCTCAGAATGTCAGCACTTACTGATATGAATTTTCTGAAAAGAACTTGTGAATAATATGGAGAATTTTATATGATCCTGCTGAGGGATGTATTAAAAATGAGCTGTCTTCACATTTGACTCATTACATTAAAAATTCCCTGTGAACATGTTGATTTTTCATGTGCTGGTCTGGCACACACAGAAGATACACAGCATCACTTGGGCCAGGGAAGGCGATGCTCCATTAAAAACACTCGTTTGTTGCTCTTTGGGTGAAACATGAGTGCTGTCTGTATTACACAGCTTGGGTTTCCTTCCACATCCAAGGGGCTGTCATGGGGTTGGTTTTATGCCAGTCACTGCAGCAATTCTTCCTGTGAGCTCCCTGTGATGATGGTGTCAGGTAAATAAGGCTCAGTCTGTGTTATCTGCTCAGGCTGGGAAAAACCTGCCCAGAGACCCAGAGCAGAATTGCTGTAGGTCTGCACACATTACTCATGCTCCTCCCATCCTGGCATCCGTGTACATCCCCCCTTACTCTGCTGCACTGAAATCTCCTCCTTCTCTTTCTGCCTCCCCAGATGACACTCCACAAAGACCCGGAGAGCGAAGATTTTGGATTCAGTTTGTCGGATGGCCTGTTAGAAAAAGGTGTCTATGTAAATATGGTCCGTCCGGATGGGCCAGCAGATCAGTGTGGCCTCAAGCCATATGACAGAGTGCTTCAGGTAATAAATGCAAAATGCAGTTCTGGAGGCTGGGACGGAGTGAATGAGTGGCTGAGAGGAAGAGAGAAGTGAGACCCATCCATGGCAGCACTAACTTTATTGAAAGGTAATAGTTAGCCAACTAGGTGGGCTTGTAGCCACCAACACTCAGTGAGACCTGTGTTTTATAATAAGAAATCACTAGCTAGTACCTTCAGATGGTACCCCAGGTGGTACTCCTAGGTTACACTAGTCCAGGGCACGCTGTTCTGGCACTGGCCTTTCTGAGCTTGGATAGCTCAAAACAAGCAAAAAGCTGTGTTGCTTCCTCTCCTCACCCTGAGTCCTGTTCCTGTTTTTTGGATGAACCAGACTGTGTTGACCAGTATGTGTTCCTGTGAAACCCCTTGTGGAATYAAGTGATGTTCATGAAGTTCTGTGCATGCCTTTGACAACAAAAAGAGTTTTCTAGGAAACACATCCTTCAAGCAAAGTATTTTTTATGGATATTTTTCTTYGAAAAATGCTTCATCTGAAATAGCTGATGCAGAAACAGAAATAAATCTCTGGCCAAAAGCGCAGTCGGTGATAAATGTGCGCTGGGCGTATTGGACTACCAGAGGGACAGAAAGAGCCTGGTGAGTTTTGGAGATTGGAGAGGAGCTCTGTATGGATGAAAACCAACTATTTTAGCTTTGAGGCAACTGAAACAGCAACTGAAGGAATTGCAACCTCTATGGAAAAATCGCCACCATTTGGAAATGCAGATCTTGTGACCATATTTGGAAACACTCAGATGTTTARTTTTCTAATTTCTAGGCGGGGGTTCTTAGCAGTCGGATTAGAGCCAATACTTTATGTRCATCAGGTAACTGGAGGACTGGCAGCACTGTGGGGAACCTTGTTTAAGCTTGTTACGGTTTCTAGCCAGTTGGCTGCTATACAATTATTCCTTCTCAGCTTCAAATAAAAGATGGTGCAAGAATGAACAAGAAGCTAATTAGGCTCTGGGCTGCCTTTCTGTTCAGTGTTGGATGTGTCGCTTTTTGTGAGTGCCAAGTGCTCTGGGAGGTGTGCCCAAAATCCTAAACAGAGCGGCATGGAGACTTTGGACACCCTTTTTCCACACGCTGCGCCCAGAGCTCACACCTACGGGCACAGGAGGCGACTGCTGGCACGCTGACGTGGAGCTGGGAATGAGGGATTGCAGATGTGCCACAGGTGACTGCCTCAAGAAGTGCAGGGATGCGTTGCTGAGGATGCTGCATGGTGCTGCTGATGGTGGGCACAATGATGTGCCTGAAGGCCAGTGAAACACCTCGTCCCTGCTGTCACAGACCCTCTGCCTCTCAGCTGCATGGATTAACTGGAGCATGGCATTGCACTAATGGCACTTCTGCACTCGAGCTGCCTGGCTGGCACCGAGCAGGGGCAGAGCAAGCTTGTGGTTATCTCTCCTTGTCCATGAGTGGGTTTGAAATTGTCCTTCTGCTGTAAGGAGCAGTACTGGGGTCTCTGTGTGGGCCAGCAAGGGTGGAGGTCACTGCTGCTTTCACAGACCCAGCTCCATGGGCATGAATTAATCCTGGCAAGGGGCTTGGGCTGGAAGGGCTGTACAGTACAGAGCCAAATGACCAGCCCTTACCCAAAGAAGGAACAACACCTGGCCCCAGGGGTTATGTTCATTCCAAAGGCCTATGGGAAACTCATTTCTCCTTTCCCTGCTTCCAGTCCCGGTGCCATCTGCCAGCCTGCTCTGTCCCAGAGATGTCATAGCACCAAGCCCAGGTGTTCTGGTAGCTGCAGGCAAGAGAGCTGGGGTGGTTTCTCCACCTGACCCAGTCTAGAAAGATGCTTGAAGGWCTGCAAGAGCCAGCAGTAACTGCTTTCATTGCTGAATCCTACAGAGAGAATTTGCAGCTGCCTCCTGAGCCCACATGAAATGAATCTAGGCTCCTACGAAATGAAGGATATAAGTGGGGAGAGTGGAAGCCGAAACTGTTCACTATAGTCTGGGTTTGCTTTTGGCTGAGCTGCGAAATGATTGCCAGAAGCCTCAAGGCTATATTTGTTTTCTGGGTGCTGAGTACTTGGCACCACAAATTTGAGGCCAATAGAAACCATGATGGCAAAAAAAAGAGGAAAATGGCAACATTTTTTCTGCAGGCTTGAACACAACTGGTTTTGAACCCTGCAGTGTTTAATACTTATACTATTGCCCCAGGCTTTGGGGTCAGGGCTCCTGCCTGGTCCAGATTTTTTTCCGCCCTTCCTCTATCAGTTACTRCATCATTCCTCAGCCTAGCATGGATGCTCACTCTGAAGGGTGCTTCTGCTCTGCTCCATTGTGAACCTGGAATCAGGGACCCCCCAAGAGTTGTGTGTTTTTCCAGCTGGGATTTAGCACTAATCTTGCATTTGCTGACTAACAAACATGATCTTTCTGTTGTTCCTCCCCATGGCACGTCCAAAATCCCTCCCGGCAGGTAAACCGCATCCGAACGAGAGACTTTGACTGCTGTCTGGCCGTTCCCTTGATTTCAGAGGCTGGAGATAAGCTGGACCTGGTGATTAGCCGGAACCCCTTGGCACTGGCTGCCAACGCTCCCTCGGAGGGGAACAGAGAGCTCCCGGCGCAGGTGCCCCGCGGCGCCGAGGTCAAGGCGAGTGTCCAGACGCTCTGAGCAGCGGGARCAGAGCAGGCCATGCCTCTGCTGAGCTCTTGTGGTATTTGGGGTGTTTTTCCTGTTTTTTTGCACTGGTATTTGTAAATGCTGTGTGTACCATAACCTGCCCATGGGAGGGGGTCTGCAGTGARCCTGTGGCCTGCCCACTATTGCTGGGAAGGGCAGAGCTGCATGCACGTCCGGGGCTGTGGCAGCGACGGCAGTGGGACAAGGAGCATCCACAGCCATCCCCCATGGCAGGGCAGCCCCTGTGCTCCTGCCATCGACATCTTCCTCACCCTGAAAGGCCTTGGCCATCCTACAGACACACATGGTGCTATTATGTTCCTTGTTTGCCCAGTTAATCGCATACAGCAGGACTGAAATGCCTTTCCTTTTATGTTGTGCCCAGCTCCATCCTTTCAACACWCCTGGCAAATCAATTCCTGCAGCCCCTTGCACTCTGGGTGCAGGACTGTGGAGGGAGCTGTTAAAATATTTCAAGATGTCCTTGAGAGWGGCTAAATGCAATTCTTGTGCRAAAATTGGTGTTTGCAGCCGTCTCMTGCCAGCTCCATCCACATTTCCTGCCAGGTCTGCCTCTCCTGTGGATGGATGAGGCACTGGCGTGGCTGATTACCATGAGCAGTGTTGTTACCTGTGCTCAGTAGTGACTGCAGAGTTAAGGCCATACCCAAAGGCCTGGAGTACCYGCCTAAATTCCCCATTGTTTGTCTGAGTTTTGTGGAGATCTCCTGCGTGCAAACCTGGCCTGTGCCTGGAAGTAAAGAGCAGGATAGTGGAATTCCCAGGGCTGCCCCTGATGTTTTGGGTTGATGAAACATTGCTGTCCCTGCTGAGGCAGAGGCAYGCCAAGCCCTGGGCTGGGTGGTGGTTGTGTCCCTGTGTCCCTGGGGGYTGGCTGTGTGCCCCTTTGCCTGTTGCTGGCCTCTCGTAGCCCCGTGGCCGCTCCCCTCCTGCTTGAGAGCCCCTGGCCCATGGAGCAGAGGGGCTGTGATGTTTGCGTTGCCTGCCATGTTTCCCACGTTAGCACTTTATGATGTTTGTGTCCTGGTGGCAGTGTGAGTTTGGCATCGCTTTTCCCGGGCAATCTTGGGCAGTGGAGCCAAGGGTTCACTCAGCCGGGCACGGCAGCTCCGGTGCCCGCTGCCCCTGTTCCCTGCTTGTCCCCTTGCTCCCTGCCCAGCTGGCAGCCGTGCTGTGTGCTGGGTGCTGTGTGCAGGGTCCTGGGTGCAGGGTGCTGTGTGCTGGGTGCTGTGTGCTGGGTGCTGGGTGGGTGCACAGCACATGTGTGTGGCTTTGCTGAGCCAGGACCCGTCCCTGCACCGTCTGTCCCCGACATCCCCCTGTGCCCACAGCGGATCCGGGTGTTTCCTCCAGGCACGGCCCCATCCCTCTCTGTCTTGTAGCCATTTTCTCTTTGAGTATGCAATACCCCGTACCATTGCTGCCACAACTACATAACGTGCCATAATTGATACTGTGGAGCATTGACAGCGCRGCCGAAAGTGTTTTTATATGCAATATTCTGAGCAGTGGAAGCTCACTGGAGCTTCTCATAGGTTTTTAATGAAGACTTTTAATAAAGGCTTTAAAAAAAAAAAAAGGAAGAAGAAAACCTGGTCCTTGTATCCCTTCCTATGCATTTTGAATGATATGAAGATGAAATGCATTACTTAAATGTGTATTTTTATCCATATATTAGAGTGTATTCCTTGTAAAGTATTTTTATATGCTRATTTTCTTATGTATCTATGAAAGCACAATATTTAAAATTACAGCATTTCAAAGAATATTTTAGTCCTGTTTTGGACCTATTTGTAAATCTCTGTATTTAAATGGGATTGGAATGACTTTGACTTTTTTTTTTTAATTAAATAAAAGCAAATGAAATGCGTTTGTTTTGGTTCACGTCACTTTCTGCTGGAGGATGATAGTGAGGCAGCGCTTTGCTTCCAGCAACACTTTAACTTGCCAGGGGACCCTGTTTATGAGACACCTTGAAGGACAACGGGGAGGTCACGCAGAGGGTTCGCTGGGAGGCCACTGTTTGTAGGRCTGGGGTTGTCCCTTGCCACTCACCATAAGCAGCAGGACTTGTGTCGCTCCCCTCCCTGTGCCCTCCGAGGCAATTTTGCYGTAGCTGTTAACAGGGAGAGCTGGAGATGCTCACACATGTGGTTCCAGCACTGCTCACAGCTTTTCCACGCCGCCAGTCTTGGCTTAAAGCTGGGCTGCTCCATGACAAAACACTGACGCAGCAAAGCACGTGGCAGCCGTGACGTGGCAGCGTTTGCAAAGCTGTGGTTAATCCCTGGGGATGGGTTGGAAAACCGCTGGAGAATGATGTGCTGGCAGGAGATGTCCCATCTGGTGCTCAGAGCCCTGTGGCTCCAGCGGGGTGCCTTGAGCTGTGCCSTGGCAGCCAAATGATCCCTGACATCAGACATCCCAAGAGACGACTGCCACAAACCCAGACCACAGTTCCTGGTGTCCATACATCGAGGATTTCTTCACTGTGTTCCCAGTGTGGGCAGCACAGCTTGGAATGTTCTCTGGACAAGGCCACAGGGAATCTCTGCTCACCAGCACAGAAAGGGTGAGCTGGGTTCTGCAACCCTTCAGGCCAAGCGGGTAATGAGGGAATTTTTGGAGACTGAGCAGGGTATAGGAATGCTCCTGGTTAGGCTGGGGATTCACTGCCATGTAAACAAACCTTATCTGCYATCTCTGGCTGCCCCAAAGACTTCAGAGCAGGGCCCTGCAAAAAACCACAAGGGACCTTGCCAAAACCACGAGGAGCCAACTGAGGCACGGGGGCYGTGGGAGGATGAATGAGCACCCATGAAATGTGAGCCCTGGGGCTTGGGGTGTGTCCCGGGGGTTCTGTGGGTGTCCCAGGTAAGAGGTTGGGATGGAGCTGCTCCCTGGGATGTCCTTGGTGGGCAGCACACCCTGCTGATGTGCTGCTGCTGTCACTTCTCATCCCACGGGCCTTTAATGGTGGGAGCAGCTGCAGCCCTGGGCGGGTGATGGCCACCAGGGACAAGGAGTCAAAATCCTTCAGCAGCAGCTTTTTAAATTCCTGTTCATTTATTTTATTTTAACCTGAGACACACTGCAGTTGCTGTCTGTGCTGTTATCAGGCTGCTCAGCCCAGGCATTGCAGGGTGTGCTGATGAGAGGAGAAATCCCTGACAAAGTCCTCAGTCACACCCAGCTGAAGACCCAAGAAAGCCAAAAAACCCCAACCAAAGAGAGCTGTGAGGCTGATCCTGGGCACGGGGTGCTGGGGGTTCAGCAGTGATACTCCAATGTTTTATTTTCACAGGGAGTAGCCACCTACATGTTTTTTTCTTTCCCTACCTCAAATCAGGACCTCAGGAATGGATGCTCTGGTTTAACCTCCATCTGTTTGACTGAAGAGGCCATCAGTGAGCTTGAAATAACCAGTCCCACACACCAGGAAAATAAATGTTGGGGTGTTTTTCTTCTTACTGGAATTTTCTGATGTATTTGAACTCTCACAGTAGTGGTGCAATGCATGGGCTGGGCACTGGCTGTTGAGAAATGGCTTTCTTCTGTGTCACTTGTTTTTATTTTGTTCTGTTTTTTACCTCTTTGATGTGTTTTGTTGAGGGTTTTTTTTTTCCTCCCCCACTTTATATTTTAATTATATACCTGTCTGTATTCCAACCCTTGAATTTTTSCATTTTTACCCTTCTGATTCTCATCCCACTGTGTGAGGGGGTGAGTGAGAGGCTACGTGGGGCTGTGCTGCCAACCAGGGTGAAACCATGACAGATGTCAAGTTAGACAGGGATTACACATATTTTGTATATATAGTATTTKATAAGGACAAAAAACACTCACACCATCAACCCCCAAAATAAGGAATAGGTTTAAAGGAAGAACTGATCTTCACAAAGACTAAAAGAACCATCCAAGAACATGKCTGGTTTATAAAGGAAAGTTTTATTTTCAGTTATAAGGTGATTACAAACTCATCTAAAAAAGCAAAGATGACTTAAAAATATCCATATACATTTTATTTATCTAAAAAGCAAAACAGAAACTGCAAAATACAAACATTTACCATATACACAAAGGCTAGGGGGTTTTAGGATTAAATTACACTCCAGGATTTTTTTCAAATACAAATATTCCGTTTTGGAACACACAAAAAATGTTTTAAAATGCTTTAAAAATATTTTTAAGGTTTTTTTTCTTTAAAAAAATTCAGATGACATTTTTAAGGAGGCCATCATCGCCCTCGCCTCCTCGCTGCATGTGCTACTCATTATCACATTACTGTAGTCACAGTTGCTAGGAATTAAAATAATTAAAAAAACACCACTGTTTTTTTAGCCAAATACATCAAACAAGATGGACCACCTCTTACAATGTGAAGTCCCTGGCAACATTATCAGGTAACAGTCACAACATTACACTGGAGAAAAAATAACATCCTATTGAACAACGAGCACTTCAGAACAGTACTGGGATGCTGCGATGCTGAGAGACCAGCGCTGGCTTCCAGGACAGGAGCATGTCATGAACTAACTCAGTTTGCCCCCTCAGGTTTTGTTGTTTTTAATCAGCCTCTCAACATAATTTTGCCACTGTTTGGTTTTTTAATTTTTTTTAAATTTTTTTTCTATATATATTGAAAAAAAATTCAACTCTTTCTAACATCTCAGCTGCAGAAGCAGGTACATTTAGGAACAGTGTGAATCGTGCTCACTGGGCCACAGGGCTGAAGCCTTCCCCCACAAATGCGCACACACACAGCACGTGCACAGCTCCTTTTTTTTTTTTTTTAATTTTTTTAATAGCTTTCTTTTTTTCCCATTATTTCTTCTGATTTCTCAAGTCAGGCCACGTTTTGCCTGCACTGCAAATGGAGAAGTGAGCAGCACCATCCCGCTGTGCACTGCAGAGCCACGGGGAACAAGCCTCCAAAACTCGCCCCTTTAAAATTCTCTTCAATTCACTTTGCTCGTGGTAATTAAATTCTGACACTTTTACCGATTATTTCCAATGAGGACACAGCAGCAACACAAAAAAGCTGTGTCTGCTCTGCCATCCAATAGCCCAACATTACCAGCAGGGTCAGGCTGCTTTCCAGTAACAAACCCTGTCACTGAAGTTTTCCACCTTTGATGGGGATGAGTGGGTGATTTGTTTTCTTAAAGTTTTCAACCTGCAAAATTTTGAGCTCATCCCTGGTTTTGGTGAAATGGTGTCTCAAGCTATTTCTGCTCTTGTTTTAGGACACAAGTAAATTGAAATCACCAATTCCCAATGACAACTGGAAAAAAACCACACAAAGAATGTGACTTTTTCTGTTTATCTTTTAATAGAAACAAACAAATTGATTTTTTTTTTTCAGAGAAGCATTGTCCACGTACACATTTCTTTTGGGCTGGCAGAAAAGAGCCACAGTCCAGTGGAGGGTGTGGGGCTGGATCAGGCAGTTTTCCAGTGGGTTGCTGGTGCTGGTTATACTGAAGTCTCTCTTGAGTAATCTTTCCCATAGACTCAAGTTGACCACTAATACCATAAGGAAATTTTTGTGACCAAAATATGGAGCTCAGAGCACCTCTTTTGCATTAGTTCAAGGGTTTTTTAGGTGTCAAGTGTCACCCAATCAACTAAATACGCCGTTTCTTAAGCTTATCTTTGATTATGAGAAATAAAACAAGCTACCRGGGTCTGACAGTTCCTGACCTTTGCTCATGCAAATATACAAATACACAACTACACGTCAATCCTAACCACAAGGCTTTGGATGCTGATTTTGGAGAAAACAGGTCCAGGGCAGCTGCCTGAACCCACACCACACCCAGCCTCCCATGCCAGGAGCCATGTGGTGTCTGCAAGGAGCCAGGAGAGCTTACAAATCCAACATTAAGGCATCCTTGGAGGGGCCATGGTCCAGGATTTTGTTAGTACTTTCCCTCTTCCACCACCCCCATTTAGGAAAGACCATTTGGACACCCTGGCAGGTTGGCTCTTTGCAGGCAAGTGGTGCCTAAACCTCCTCAATCCTCATCCTGAACAGCTTGGCAAGATTTACACACATGATTTGCAGCCTAGGAATAGAAGCAATGTCCCCACTGTGTGCGTGCATATGAGGGTGGAAGATTTCATCTACTAGTCTACTTAAACACAGATTTATTTTTATTCTTTTTACTGAAAGTGAGCAACTTCCATTGAATCTCCTTGGAAATGATGTCAGGGTCATCTTTCTTCCAAGTGTACTTGAGCTGCTTAACTAACTTGTCCACTGCATTCAATGCACAGCTTATTTAACATTTTATATACATTGTGCCTCCATGAGTGATCCTGCAGGGACCACAAGACATGGGAGCTAATRAGCAGTTATTCAAAAATGTTCAAATCCTTCTCCCACGGCTGGAAGTTTGCCATTGATGCAACAAGTGGGAGCTTTGAACCCAAGTGTGACAAGCACAACCTCAATAAAATGGAAAGTCTCCTTAGCAGAAAAAAAAAAAAAAAAGCCAGACCAGGAGGAGACTTGGAAAAAAATCTATTGAATGGAGATGTCCATGTGTCTTCAGATCTACTTGAGTTATCTAACACTGAGACAAAGAAGAGGAACCAGGAGCATCTGCAGTTGGGAAAGGAGGACGCACACAGGACTGGAAAGGAGTGCAGGAGGTGCTGTCCTGGCAGCTGCAATAAAAGCTCTGCTGATATTGTTGGGGTTTTTTGGTGTTACAGCAACTGTAAGCCTGCTTTTTTTTTTTTTTTTTTTTTTTTTCCTACTTTTCCTTTTTCCTCCAGTCCCCAAGAACAGCAGTGAAAAATCAGTCTTGCCGAGCTGGTCCAGCAGATCATTCCTAACTCCCCTC